CCAATGTAAATTCTCTGGTTTCTTTCTGAAGAAACACCTGAACCTCTGCCCACAGCTTTACCAGGTCCAAAGGCTTCTAGATTTACTACTGCGTTTCTGCGACCGGAATCTGATCTAGCAGGAGCCCCCCGTAGGGCACCGCAGGGCACTGGGGGCCCACATTCCTGTTTGCTATAATCCCTAGATTCTGCCACCTGGTGAGGTATTTCTTTTAATAACGTCAATTCTTCTTTTATCCTACCTTTTCTAAGAAATTTTCCTCTATTTCTTGCTTTATGCGAATGTCAGACAAATGTAATCACTTTCAAATCAATATATGGGGCTTACTTACCTGCAAATATATACTATCCCAGTTTTGTAATTTTCTCAGAAACACTGAACCCAGAAAAACCCGCAGAACTTTCTAGTTACTCCTTACAGGCAACACGCCAGGTGCCCTTGCCCCTGCCTCTTGGTTGGGTGAGGCTTTGTAGCTAGAGTAGCAGCTGCTGCTCTCTCATGGCCTCCTCCCCCCGAGACATTCTCTGCTCCCTCGTCTCTGCACGCCTTTGAACACCCTCTGGTGCGTGTCCTTCGTTAGCCACTTGAGACTTCACGACTTGACCACAACCTCTTTGTGGTCCTCACCTCCTGCCTCTTGCCCCAGCTCGTCTGTTTGTTGTTCCCTAAATATATCTTGCTACCTCAAAGTCTCAATGTCTACTCCATTTCCCCTGTGCCTGGAATACCCTGCCCCTGCTTCTTATCCTGCCCAAGCTGCTGCCTCAAAGTCCCTGCAAGCTAACGTCTGTGCTGACCCACACACGTGGCAAAAACGATTTCCGTGTTTGAATTCCTGTGAAAACCATGTAGCTGAACTCTCTAGCTTGGCCACGACAGCCCAGAGTTCTGGGTTCGTGCCCTCTGCCCCCGAGACCAGTCCTGATTCTACGGGGCTCCGAGGGGTCTGCAGGAGGGCTCCTTGTCAGTTCTTAGAACAATGATAGAGGCCCTGGCCAACCAAATGCTGCTTTTCTTGAAGGAGTGAGAATGCAGGTTTGCTGGACTTGTTGTCCCCAGATAACCCCTCGGCAGAAGCCCAAATAGCTGTGACCGGCCTCTCTGCAGGCATCCGGTGGAGTACTGTGGGCTTACAAGAAAAAGGATTTCATGGCTTAAGTAGGGACAGAGGAACATTGCTAAAGTGTTCTAGTTTCTACAGACTCCAATTTGCTTCCACTGGAGACGGGCCATCTTCCTGATGTGCTTGGCACTTGCTACTTGGAGACAAGATGTCCCTACCCAGAGCTTACTGCAGTACAAAACGGAATGTTTTGTTTGGGATGCTTATGGTCTCCAGGGAGCCACATGCCTCAAGGTTCAATTCTACCAGGTGATGTACTTTTGTCCGGATGTATTCTAGAGGAACGCTGCAGGTGCTATTAGAGTATGTGCACCTTCAAGATGCTAAGATATTTTGGATAATAATAAGAATAGTTCGCATCAATATTGTATAATGTTATATACTTCTATTAATATATTACTGTAATTATATAACTAAATGATGATGGCTGATATTACACTTAAATTGTACACTCTATGTACCAGAACTTTCTAAGCATTTTATGTATATCAATGACTTTAATACTCATGACAACCCCATTAGTTAACCCATTTTACAGACAGGGAAAGTGAGATAGAGGTTAAATAACTTGCCCAAGATCGTTCTACAGTCATTTGACAGGAGTGGATTTGAAAAGAGCTCTCTGACTCTTCTTCCCCACGGAGGAGTCTTCTCGCCCGTCGAGCCGTGGGCAAGAAGTGAATGAACACGGAGATGCTCGCAGGGGCTTGACGCCTAGCTTCTGATACCACGCCAACACTGGTTGCTGCTCTAATTCAGAAACACCCACCGAATCCCCTCTCTGCCGGGAGTGTGCTCGTGGGAATGATTCCCGAGACAGTCGAGGGGACAAATGTCTTGCTGATTCAGGGGTTGCCTCTTAAGCTGCTTCTTAGATGCTAAAGTGTGAATCTTCATTAGGCAGCAGGAAAAATGCCAGCACACGCTGCTTCATCGGAGTCTGCAGAGCCTTGTTCGACTATCACACATAAGGTCATTTCTTTCCAGCATATGTGTGAGAATCGTATCAAGAAGTGATATGTTATGTCTAATTATTACCTTTACCAAAGGAGATTTAGAATGATCACAAGCAGTAGAATTTGACCGGGAAAGGAATGTTAAGTATAAGCATTAGAGTATATGATTTGTTTTCAATTTTACATGATCTTGAGTAAGAACCATTTTTTAAATTGATTTTTAGAGAGGGAGGAAGGGGTGCGAGAGGTGGGGAGAAGGAGAGACATCAGCCTGCAATCCACATATGTGCCCTGACCAGGAATCGAACTTGTAACCTTCCAGGGTATGGGATGATGTTTCAACCAACTAAGCCACACTAGCCAGGGGAGTAAAAACTACTTTCATGAAAACTTTAAATTTTCTTACCTAATAAAATTAAATTACCTAATTAAAATTAGATTACCTAATACTCAGCAGATAACTCCTCAAGCTTTGATTCTTGCCATTTATGTTCTGGTAGTAGCTACTCACAAGTACTTAAAGTATTCAGTCACTTGTTTTAATTAAAAAAAATCATCTATTTCCTTCTATAATTGTATTTGTAGAATAATATCAATATCATTAAGTTACATGTTATAACTCTATTTTCATCATTTATGTAGATTTGCTAAAAAATCTTACTGTAGGCCTAGTAACATAATCACTTTTATGTGCGAATATGTATGCTTTTTTTTCCTAGGAAAAATTCATCTGTTTGTTTTATTTTAATATATTTCAATAAACTTGAAGTTTGCATTTGAAATACCATCGTGCATTGGCATATATGAAGTAGTATGAAAATACTCTTTTTTTTTTTAGGTTAGAAATAATAGCAATTTTAAAATCCAAGCAGGAAGTTCTGTCGGATCACACATTCGAAATGTACCACTTTCTGCCAATTGCTCTATAGTATCAAAACTTATGCCCTGGCCAGTTTGGCTCAGCGGTTGGAGCGTCGGCCTGTGGTACAGAGAGACCCAGGTTCGGTTCCCGCTAAGGGCACGTACCACGGTTGCAGTTTGTCCCCGGCCCTGGTTGGTCGTGCGGGTGGCAGCCACTCGATGTGTCCCTTTCACATCGATGTTTCTCTCTCTCTCTCTCTTCCTCTCTCTCCCTCCTGCTCTATCTGAACAAAAAATGGAAAAATGTCCTCGGGTGAGGATAAAAAACAAAACAAAAAACTTATTACTTCAACTGAGATTATCTTTTGGTATTGTAGAGTTCCAGGGTAAATACAATGAAAAAAAATCATAAAAGACTGTTTTCTAATTCTGGGAAGGAATATGACAGAAGACTTCATTTAAAAGATAGAAAGGTGTGTATCCTTTAAGACAATGAACAACCGTCCCAGAAAAGTAGAAGAAGGATGAAAGTCAGAGGATACTTTCTGGGGCCAGGTGAGGCGGGGAGAAGGGGTGAGGGGTAGCTGTTGGACTTGCTTGGGGAGGGGCAGCGTCAGTATTTGCAGCCTGACGCCGAAGATGTCATGTGCGAACCTCTAATTCTGTGACGCTGGGATGCAGAAGCTGGGATGACTATTGTTTGGTCTTCCCTTTATAACATTAGCAAAAAATAATAACAATGAATATTACTTCTGTTCAGAGACTGCCCAAATGCTGTGCTAAGTCATTTACACGTACTTAAGAAGCAACATAAGCAATAGATATTCAATGATATAATTGAGTTAATAAAAATAATAAAGGGTTTAAACTGCTTGCTCATAGACCATAACTCATTTTGAACCATCAAGATCCCCAAGTCCCACGGTATTATACAGCCTTGGAAATTCTGCATTAACCACAGCCATGTTCTTCAAGCGGGATGAAGTGCCCGGCGTGGGTGGTGGGGGTGGCTCCCCATCAGTTTGCCTGCGGTTCGTGCAGATGGGGACGGAGAAGCAGAGCAGGGTCCTGACCTCTCCTGAAGCCTCTTGAAGTCATGCCTCATATCTACATGTTTCCTGGTAACTGGTCCCCAACTACACACCCCCCCCTGTAGACCTGCCATCAAGTAACTTCTAACTTTTTTCAGTTCCTCCCTCCAAAGTGTGGTTCCACAGTTTCCCCTGACTGCTCTCACTGCACGTTGACTCTTCTTTGTTCTGTGCTCTTGAGCACTTCTATAAAAAGTTCACATTCTGTTCCAGAAAGAACCTAAAGGGACATTTAGATTTTCTTCTTTTTTTGCTTGCCTTTTCGAATTTCACTCGAAGTCCCCAGGGCAAGTGGTTTTCCTCTTACATCGACTTCGTTAAAAATATAACCCCTCCTCTCTCCCTCCCTCTTCCCTGTCTTTCCCTCCCTTCCTCTTTCTGCCAGACTTTGAAAGCTGTCATATGCTACCACACTCTGAAAATAGATAAATGTATCAGTTGACAAAGTTTACTCCCAAGGGTCTCTAGAGTTAATCTTCTAAGACAAACACATGTCAAGTTACAGCTGCTATTTGTTATTTATTTTTAAACCTTTAGTTGAAATACAAACTTCGACTTGGAGGTTGCATCCATGAACTCATTATGGTCACCATCATAACTGCTAAGGTCTCTAATGAAAGGGATCAAGAGTGGTTGATAATTTTCAGAATCTACTTCCACAAACTCATAATCCCAAGACAGAGCTTAAACTAGAAGTACCCGTGAAGGCTGCCTCTCAGTTGCTAGATGGAGTACTACTCAGATTTATCAGCTCGCCGGCTGCCCAAGTATTAGTCACCACTTTTCTCCCATTTGTTTAATTCAGATCTATGTTGTGTGGAGCAAATATGAGATAAACTAGAACAAAGCAAGGGCTCATGTTAAGGCCATGTAATCCCAGAGGGCAGATGCTATCTGTGGGCAAGTGATTGGCATCCTGGTTCATCTCGACATTCTTTGTGCTCTTTTCATAATCATGATTTTCCTTACCTTTGGGTGCTATGTCTGAGAACTGATCTCGAAGGCTGTCGAGCTGCTCAATGGTCAGGGTGCCATTTTCTTCCTTCTCCACAGGGGGAGGGCGAATCGGAGGAGGGGGGTCCGGGAAGACTTTGATATCGCCGTTAATGAAGAAGACTTCTTGATCGACGTAAAGTTCGTTCTGGATTTTTGTAGACGTTTCAATGTGATAGCGAGCTACCTCAGTTAATTTTTTCACACTGCAAGTAGAAAAATGAAGAGGGTTGTCGCCAGGGAAGAGACTATTAGATTAACACTGCTTGCTAATTAGATATACACGAAAAGTTAAGACATTGGAGCTAAGTTAGATCATTCAATCTGCATGTTTACAAATTCTAATTTCTCTTCAAATCCATTGGTTAAAAAGCAGAGTATAAATAAATAAATGCAGACCGGAACCAAAATTCATGCTTGCTGTAAAGTTGACACACATTGTATATGAAGCTCAACAAGAAGAGACTTCATTATATATGGGGATATTTGTATTAGAACATATTTTACTACCTAAGCAAGATTATGTCAAGAGATGTATTACATTCTAAATATGAACCAGAATATGGTTATATGCCACGAAATAAAACAACACTGTAATATGCGAATGTTGGGACAACACATTTATTTGGAATCAGGATAAATTCTCAAGTGAACCAACTTGTATGAGCATCCATAATTTAATAGTTAGGAACCACTGTGGTGCAGACACAGCTCTGGGCCCTGAGCTGTCATTCCAGGCCTCTCCCCAGCCGTGGGTCGTTGGGGACGTTACTTGAATTCTCTGAATGTTCTTACGTTTGCAATGGAGCCAATCACACACAACTGCATACCTTATGGCTGTTAAAGAGCAGTCACACAGGGCATGGATGTAAGCTGTACTGGGGATTACAGTGATGGCCCCAATTAAAGGCTATTTTAAAGGCCAGTGGAGTTCTACAGAAGGACGGTATCTCTGTATTACTGGAAGGATCTTGTTTATAGCTTGCAGCAAAGATTCAACGTGGCAGAAAAATGCATGTTCAATCTGCTCTTACAGAATTAGGGTCACCAAAATATGCACATACTGAAAAATTTTTAAATAGTGTGTGTTGTTTTCTTTCAAAAGACACCTTTGAATTTAACTCCAGCATGCTGCTTTTGTGTGTCCACAGAGCATGCATTATCTATTAGTCTGTGTTTGACGGTGTGTGAGCGCTGGGGGTGTGGAGGAGGGGGGCACTGGATAGCTGAGTTCACAACTGGTGAGTGGGGAGGGACTCCCAATGTAGACAGAGGGCAAGCTCTGACCATATATCCAAATAAGTATACCATCTGCTGAAAGGTTACCAAGAGTACCCTCGGCAAAAAATGTTAGGCAAATGAAAAGTGGGATCTGAAGTTCAAAGAAATCTCTGGACCGCAGGCCGACGCTCTAACCGCTGAGCCAAACCGGCCAGGGCTCAAAGAAATCTCATAGCCTTGTTATTATTGTTTAATCTCTGAAGCATTTTTGCAATAACCAAAGCAGAAAGCGTAGCCAAACAGCCTTCGGTTTCAACGTCTTGTGGCCACATTCAGAAGTCAGAGACACACATATACACAATAGACATCTGAGAAATAGGAGAATCTGACAAAAATCCAAAGCATTTACACGTGCTGGCCCATGGCTGAGAGCTGTGAGTCCCAGGAATGGAGAAGATTCGTGTCCCTTCTAGGCGACAGGCAGAGGAGAGCGCAGAGCACCGTGGCCTGTGACGCTGAGGAGTAGCCCAGCTGCGCTTCCGCAGTGACATGGTTTTAAGCATCACTGCAGTACAGTTACCACCGAGGGAGCGTGCGTGCGTGCGTGCGCGTGCATGTGTGTGACCATCGAGCAACAGATACAAGCGACTGGGATAAAGATCTCACAACAGCGCTTTCATTATGAGGCAAGGAGAGAACAAACCCTAACGACTGTTTGTTCGATGGCAGTTGTTGCTTCTGAGAGTATCTGCCATCTGTGTCCTATGTACATAGCAACTTCCAAACTTTCAGTAAATGTTTATTGCAAACCGTGCTGTGTCAGAATCTAGACCTAGTAGAAACCTTGACATGCCCCAGCTGGAGGGTGTCCTTTTGCACGTGACGCGGAGCCTGCAGCCAGTAGGCACGCAGCTACTTGTGGACAGCATGGGAGTCCGGGTGTCCCGGACAATCAGGTCTCCCGAGTCTCACCTGAGGGCTGTTTCCATTCTGCTGAGATGCTTCTTTACTCTTTCTAGGGCGAATTAAGAGGATGAGGCTCACCGCCCCTCATGAGCAATGAGAGTCTGGATAGCCCTTGGAACCCAACGGAAATAGAGGATAGGGTATCATTTCCCTTCCAAGGGAATCAGCATGAGTGGAAACACACGACTTCTCAACCTTCCCTTAACTGGCCCCGACTAATAGTGAGTCTGGTATTAGAAAGATACGAAACATTATTTTACTTCTGAAAAATAGTTAAAAATGACCTGTAATCTTACCTTGTCAATGAAGGTCCTTATTGAATAGTGGGAAAACCAAATTGCTAAGTAATGTGCAAGACTGGATATTGCAAGGCAACTCTTTGAGACGTGATTGACCCCTTGAAAAGAGTCAACACGAAAGTACATGTGATTTCCTGAGGGGGCCAACATTTCTATCTGTAAATGTCATTTGCTTTGTATACACCTTAAAAATCTTTGTCGGTTTTGGTCTTCAGGAGTTACCAAAGTGTATTTTAAAAGCCCGGCAGCATTTTACCTGGCCATTTCAAGCAGGTACCTCTCGCCAAGCCACTTTTCCATGAGATTATACACATCAACCATCATGGTTACTAGATCTTCAAGGAAAGCCAACGCTTTTGTCTTTATCAGTTCCAGTCGGAACTGGGTGGCTATCTCTGTTTAACAAGAGAAATAGGGATTTGTTAAATGTATTATATGTACATGCATTTTTCTGATGAACTGAATTCAGGTTTAAAACAATCATGCTTCGATTCACGATGCTTTAGGCACACATTTAATCTATAAATATGGATTAGTAACACCATCCAGCACACTGCGAAGAAGATGTAATATGTGGTAGAGTCACCTGACAGTTTACTTAAACCAAAGCTGTATGGAGCTGTCCACTGGTTGTGCTCCATAGTAATACACTCTTTGATAAATTGAAATGGAAAAACACAAATAGATAATCTAATGTCAGAAGGCAGGGGCAGGCTCTTGATGCCCCTGCTTCAGAGCTTTGGGGTGACAATACCATTGTCCTTCTCAAATCTGGGACAGCCAGGGCCACGACCAGTGCCACAGAGCCCAGTGCTGTCCCTGGCACACATATGGTCTGTGGATTTTACCTCTGAAATATCTTTCCAGTCTTCCTTCTTTGCTTTTTCCTTGCCACTGGTCTAGTCTGGGCACTGACTGACACCTAACCCACCACCATTCTCAGTCCTGCTTTCTCTTGGTTCCTTTCTCCACCCCAAATCCAAATCGACCTCCACACTCCGCAGAGAGAACAGTCTCACCTGCACATGTGATCACAGTCCCTCTTGTGCTCAGGATTCTTCTCTGGCTCCCAGTTGCCACAAGAGAAAATGTAACCCTTTCTTGGCAAGGTCTTCGTGAACCCTCCATGATGCGGTCTCCCTGTGTCCTTGGTCACTCCTTCCCAGAATATGTCTGACTCCTGAGCTACTCCCTGCAGGTCGCCTAGTTTTCCCCTCCTTCGCCATCCTGTTTTGTGCCCTGAGCAAACTTCTCCACATTCTACCAGGTCAGCTCAATTGTTAATTCACCTGCTGGGAAGTCTTTCTTGACCCCACCCCCTAACCCCTCCAGGCTTTCTTTGTCCTATAAACCAACCTCTACTATCACTACATATTATAAGGGATTGTTTGCATTTCTCTTATTTCAGATTGGGTTTTATTTTGGGTAGTTTTGTGTTTGTGTATATACAAGTGTGTTTCCAGCAACTATTATAGGGCTGGCACATAGTGGAAACCCAGTAAACATTTATTGCCTGAACGAGGGAACTTGGCCATAGCAGGGATCACGTACGAATGAAGTGAAAGATGAAATAGACTGAACTACTGAAAGTGGAGGTGGGGATGGGCAGTCGGGGAGAAGACGCGTCCTGCCTTTTCTGACCCCTCAGATCTTCCTGTGTTCAACTCAGTTCAGACTTTATTCTTGGGATTATGGAAGCAGGCAGTAGTGGGATGGGGGAGGGGAGGTAAGGGGAGAAGCAAGGGGTGGAAAGCATCAGTAATAGTTAGTGGTCACTGAGTAGCTATGTGTCCCAGCTGAACCAACGATGTAGTTTTACAATTTTGTTACCTAATATATTGACCATGGTTCTTTTCCACTTAGGATACTTTCCCTCAGTTTCCTGATCTTTTCAAATCCCCCTTTGCAATGCATTATAAGACAGCTCGAGGAGCCAGGAGGAGACTGTCTAGTAGAGTCATTGCTATCCTGAGAGAAGGAGACATTACTGATCTGTGACTGGCTCTTTTTACAACTCCCTTTCAATGACTGTTCACCTTTGGATAGGGTTTATTTTTCTAATGAGATGCCTAAATTATGCTTATGACAATACAAAGCCACCTACTTAGGTAGCCCCAAGCCTTCTTGCAACCGGTAAAATCACACCAACTCTAAGATATTCTTTGCATTTCTATTCTTTGAGATTATAATTACTGCAGGTGTTCTCCTAACCTCTTCCCAAACTCTCTTTGTTTCTGTTTGAGATCCTAGCAGACAATTATACAACAGTCAGCTCCAGTCTTCCTTTGGTCACATGGAAACAACCAACTGGATGCTGTACTTTTCAATCAGTTTGCTCTGTGTTCTCATAGACACAGTTTGAGGCTGTGGACTGTTTGCCTACTGGCCTATTTTCTACTCAACAGGATCATTTTAGTTTATCCTATCGCTACCTTCAAATTGCAGGGCGGCAAGGTGTTCTTCCTTTATTTTGAGTCTCAGTTCATTCTTCTTTTCTATTTCGGCCATCTCCTCTGATGTCATGGCAGTGGGTGAGGATTTATCTGAAGGTGATGATTTATCTGAAAGGTCAATAAAACCCTCTGAGTGCACCTACAACAGGCAAGCGTACACGTGTGGCACTTGGACACAATGAATACAAAGTAAAATGTGTAGAGCTATAACCCTCTAGTGAGTTGGAAAGGAGAAAACCCTGGTCCCGGCAGTGTGAGTGATGAAATATTGATAGTCTTTCCCCGAGAACCCTCCATGTGGTATCTGGGCCAGACACAGACAGACACGCCCTATTTGTGTGGCATCATGGGAAAATGAGGCTGTACAGCACGTGCAGATATGCCTACTGACTCCAAAGAGGCTGCAGTTCAGAGTTTCGGTACAGACTTTAGCAGTCCCCAACACACCATGGAAGCCATTAGTCACCTGCAGAACCACTCTATAAGGGTTACTTACATTAGCCAGGTGTTTCCCAGCTCCTCAGCAAAAGAAGAACAGACATAACTTCAAGAAGATATGGCTGAAATGTAGCTGGTGGTCAGGAATTCTTAATCTACTTAATTACCTTGTAATTAGTACTGAACTACAAGTACTTCAGTGATTACATAAGAAGATTAGAAAATAAGAATGTGTCAGTATTGGAGAATTTGACGCTGTAATTCTTAGTTGCGGTCTCAGTTTGCATAATTCTACTTAGTTCAAGTCGATTGTTCTCGAAGGTCCTACCTCAAGGGGTTCAAATCTTTTGAAGAAGACATGTGTAAACTAAGAAACTGTAATAAGATGTGTTGATTGCAATAGTGGATGGATGACTGTATGCTACAAGGAAAGAGAGCTTGGTCTCCTGCGTTTCTGTTTTATCATCTGTGAAATTAAGAGATTGGACTCAACTATTGATTCTATTAAAGCAAATTGAAGCATTGCTTTCAAATGCTGCTTATACCTTTTGTTCTCCTCAGCTGAGATGGACTGAAGTGGCATGTCCTCTACCGCGGTGCTACTGTTCCGTTGGCCTCAGGTGCCACCACCCTCCCCCTCCCCCTCCACTGTCAGGAATTTGTGCAACTCCTACCCGTGGCTGCTTACGTGGACACTTCCGTTTGGGAAGTGTTTCCCTGCCCCATCTGATGGAGTGAGGCGACCTTGTTCTCAAGGGACTTGTACCTCCCCTCCCGAAGGACAGTGACAGGCCGAGCGCCCGTCTCTGCTGTAGACCACACTGTTATCAGGGCAGAGGCCATGTTTTGGTTTTTCTAAAATTCACCATTGCGTCCTCAGCACCCAACAGATTGTGGTTCACATAGCGGATTCCTAACACATTATGAGCAATTGATGAGCAAAGAGACTTGTGTTCATCTACGTGCATCTCTTCCTCTCTCGCCCCAAGTCACCGCGCAGGGAGGGGAAGTGCTCAGAAGGGGAGACAGTGTTGGAGGAAGAGCTTCTCCCCAAGGCTGAGCAGAGGTCTCTCCCAACCCGAGTTTTCTTTCCTCTTTCCTCTCCAGGAGGCCTCCGGGGGAGAAGGACTTGCTGGAATAAAACCTGACACCTGACCTTAAACTTACATACATATAATTAATTAGCTTTTAACTGTCCCTTGGTGACTGCAGTGAGGGTCAGTCCCTTTGCACACACTCTTTAGATTACACAGTGTCACCCTGGAGTTCCTCTAATATGTTCAAAGCTGTCTTCGCGGTTAATTTTACCCTGGACACACTTGGCTGTTTGGATAAACAAGTCGGGTAGGACTGGGATGCAGTATGATGTGCCAACCAACCCCCGTTCGCAGGAGCCTGGGCTCGAGGTTACACCTGCTGAACAGCCCTCGGTGGCTTAGAGTTAGAATGCTTGGCTGACTGCTGGCTTTCTACCAAGGTGAGGTCTGAGCATCCACGGTGCTGGAGGCTAAAACCATGAGTACCTTTCTCTTTGTTCCCTGAAGTTTTTTTCTGGAGCGGTGGTTCCTTTTTGACTTTTTTATTAACATTTGTCTGAGGAGTCTTGTCTTTTATTTCTGCTGGCTGGTTCTCCTTTTCCTCTTCCAGGAGCCTCTGGTGAACTTCAGCAGCCACCTGGTGCAGAAGAGCCACATTTCAGGGGGGCAGTGTCATGAGCCGCGCTGGCCCTCCGGATGTAATCCTCGCGGAGTCCACTGCCACCGGCGCAGACAAGCGTGCCCTGCGTTCCGTCTTCCCGAACGCACTGCCCGATGTCGTACCGAGACAGAACCAGCCCTGACCGGGAGGCAGCTCCCCTGTGGGGTCTGTGCGGGGGCTGCTCCTTCCCCGACCCTGCCTACAGTCCCTGCGTCCTTACACCTCACAGCCGCCTCAGGCCGGGCAGCTCCCTGCTCATGCAAAAATCCCCCTTTTCTTTAAATCCTCACCTGAGGATAGTTTTCCATTTATTTTCAGACAGAGTTGGAGGGAGAGATAGACAGAGAGAGAGAGAAACAGCGATGTGAGAGGGACACATCGACTGGCTGCCTCCTGCACCACCCTGACCAGGGCCGGGGAGGACCTGCAACCGAGGTACGTGCCCTTGGTCGGAATCGAACCCGTGACTCTTGGTCCACAGGCCGACGCGCTAGCCGCCGAGCCAAACCAGGCAGGGCAGAAACATTTCTTTCTCTCAGATCTCACATCAAGTTCCTGTTATGCCTTGGCCTCTAGTCAGGGGCATTCCTCTGTATCAGTGCTTCTCCATTGGTTTTTGTTTTTGTTTTTTTAATTGACTCCCTTTGGAATTTTTAAAACAGCTTCTTCCAACTATGTCCCCTCCATGAAGTTTTAATACCGCAGAAGAGATTGTATCTGTCTACGTATTTTATGTATATCTTGGTTTTGTGCATAAAACGGGTAAGAATTTTTCATGCTCCCCAACCAGTTTTGGGACCTGCATATCCCACATGAGCTGGGCTCGTGGACATGCGAATCCTGTGTTTCATTTCTACTCTAACCCCAGCCATCACCCGAGGAGGGTGCAGTGCTCATGAGGATGACCTGTCCCACAAGCTAAACTCATCGTTGCTTCTTAGCTCCCTCCCCACGGGGGATGCTCAGCGTCTCTCCACCTCGGCAACCCCCTCCTTCATTCTCACAGGTATCCTGGTTTGCGAGCTGAGTCGTGTGGCCACCCCATAAGAGCTGATGAATGGGGAGGGCCGGGGTGCTGCCGGGACCCCCTCACTCCTCTGAGCTGACTCTGCTTCAGGCAGCAGGAAGCCTTGTCTTGGGGCTGGTGCCCTGGGGCTGTGCCTACAGTGAGAAAGACTGGACCTTTTGAAGTCGGTCCAGTTGCCCCTGGCGAGGTGGCGGGCATTTCTGGGTGTGGCCCTGAGAAAGGGGAGCTGGTCAGAGACTCCCGACAGGAAGAAAGGAAGCCTGCCCACACCCTGGAGGCAGGAGGTACGTCTGGTTCAACTTTAAAATCTTAAGAAGGCACCTGGTGAGGAAATGGTCTTCTGTGGGAATTAATTTGTTTACTAAAGTGCCTCCTGTGTCCAAGTCTGACATCATTTCTGGGGGAAATCGGGTGAGGAACCAGGAGAAAGAAGAAGTTGGGTAGAAGTGATCAGGAAGATGAACAGGGCACGTTCTCTATCCTCAGAGAAGCTTGGTCCCGGAGACCAGATAGACCCTCTCCAAATCCCAGCTACACTTCGAACCCCATGCTCTGTGAGTGGTCAGTGTCACCCCACTCTCCAAACGGGCTTCAAGACTCCTGAGAACTGGGCCAGTTCCACTTCTTGGTATTCTCCATATGATACCATGCTATGCTCTTAAGGGATGGTCAGGAAATGCTTGTTAATTGATGGAATTTCTTCTAAAATAATCATATTCCACAGAATACACCCACAGCTTCTTCAATATCAGCAGAACCGTGGAGGCACACAGAAAGATTTCAAAGTACAAGCCAGTATGTTTTTTAAATAAGATGCTCTTTTGATAAAAATGGATTTCATGATATATACTGTACTTCCAAATTCTTGGTAAAGCTGAAAGTAGGCTTGTTAACATTCCCCCCTAAATTGCAAGCAATTCATTTTTGAATGTGTTCTTGCAAAGCACTAAGTTAGCAATTTGCTTTAAAATTGGATTTTCCTCCTTTGTAAACACCCTTGTGTTGGTGGTGGTGATGATGATGATGATAATTATCATCATTATCATTTTTCTGTTCACTTCCTTCAAAGACCTTTGGGTCTTTCTGAAAAAATTAACATCATTTACAATACATCCAGCAATCTAACTTGTAAGGCTGAGGAACCTCTAGCAATAATGCCTGGGAATTGTGGACGTTCAGTCTGACTTGTTTCTTTGAAATCATTGCATACCTGCTAATTAGAACAAAGTTTTGCTAAAAATTAGCATAGCAGACTAAATGAATAGGTCTCGGGAAAACTGCTGTGCAGAAGAAAGCCTGTGTTGGAGTGTTCTCGTTTCAGCGCACCAATCTCGGCTGGCGTTGTCTTCCCTGCGACAATTCCCTGAATCACGCCTGTCTTATTTGGAACTCGAAATCGCCTAAAGGTCACGTGACATCACTGTCACAAATGCCAATTAGAAACATAAAAGCAGGATTCAAATATAAGTATGAGTAACAGTAATTACTACACAATACTTTCTCCTATGCTTTCTACATGGTTTTTAAAACTACACAAGAAAAACAGTACAATTTTGACTATCTTCATGACCTATTATCCTTACAATTTCAAAAGCACTTTCATATACATTATTTCATTACATCTGTTCAAGTGTCCAAGCAAGAGAAGGGGGTAGACTGCCTCCCACGCTGCACATGGAAGGAACTGGAGGCTCAGACTCTGCTAAGACCACATCGCTTCATCACGAGGTTTGGGAGCCAGAGCTCTTTGTGTTGCAGGATATTCTCTTTCTAACAATGTTTTAGGAACTTAAAGTGTCTACATGTCGTATTTTTAAATGTCATTTCCTCCAGGTAACTTTAATGGGACTCATAAGACTTATAAATTATGTTTATGTAGCTCAATTAGCCATAAAATAATAGTTTGTGTGTGTGTGTGTGTATATATATATATATTTTATAGAACTCCTAGATATGGTTCCCCAGCCTCTGGTGCTTGGTAGCTCTCGTGGTCTCTGCGGGGATCATCGTCGTCGCCAACACCATTAACATTAACGTCAGCATCCTCAGTATGGAAGCAGCGGCATCCAAGACTGGATTCACGGCTTGGTGTTACGGTAGATATGGGCATTAGGCTGGTGGTAGGGTTTATAGAAGTTTTAGAATCTGGTCAGTATTCAAGAAAATAACAAAATGAAAATGACAAGCAATAATCTAGATAATAAGAGCCAAGTGAGTGGGAGACACGGTAACTGTGACAAGGGGTGAAGAGCATAAGCTCATAGAAGGCAGGGCGTCAGAACACAGGCGACCGACCAGCCAGGAGTCAAGGCATGAACTCGTCCTGGAGACGTAAAGAAAGTATAGGATTTATGTAAGTAGAAGGAAGGAGAACCAGAATTTAGGAGGAAAAAATGGCATTACCAAGGCATTGAAATGGTTAACGTCCACTGAAATACAGGATGAGATATATAGTCAGTTTCCGAGAGAGTATGAATGTGACAATAATCCCCCCAAAAAATAATGAGGAAAAAAATTAAATTAAGGGGGAAAAAAACCCAGAGTAAAATGAATCAATAAAATTGGAATAGTTCTTTGAAAAGACTGATATGATTGATAAAGTTCTGGGTAAGCTGATCAAGGAAGGGGAAGCACAAAGATATTATCACGTAGATAATATACTGTGTTGCAGTAACACAAACATAAGAGGATATTTTAAAGAACTTCATGCCAATACATTTGAAAATTTAGACATGGAAAAATTTCTAGCAAAACCCACCCAGGCCCCCCCCCCCCCCGAAGAAACAGAATAATAATTACCTTATATCTATTAAAGAAAATGAATCCCTGGGTGAAGGAAGCAACAAACCTCTTCAGACAAACTTCCTACAAACGTCCTATCAGCCTAGGTGGCTTCTTGGAAAATAGCACCAAACATTTCAAGAAGAAGTAATTCTAACTTCCACAAAATCTTCCAGAGCTGTTTCCCAATTCAACTCACAAAGCTAGTAGTACCTGGACGCGGAAAGCTGACAAGTTACATGCTCAGAATTTAAAAACCCTAAACAAATGATTAGGAAGACAAATTCAGCAATATGTAAGAAGGATGATGCTTCATTACAAAGTCGGACTTATTCCAGGGATGTGATGCAAGTTTAACATTAGAAAATTGATCAATATATTTCACATTGACATAAAATGGAAGAAAAAAAAAATCACATGATAATCTCAATAGATGCAGAGAAAGCATTTGCTAATACAATTCATTAAAGAACCTTCATAGCATGCTAGAAATGAAAAGAAATTTCCATGATCTATCTGATAAACACTAACAGAAAAAAATATCTACAGACAACGTGTTCATGAATCTTGATAAGCTGATGCGAAAATTTGCATGGAAAGGCAAAAAGACTAGAGAAGCCAAAATGCTTTTGACAGATGGCAACGTGGGAAGATCTGCCCATCCAGATAACAAAGAGATGACATGATACTGAGTAGCTTGGGCACAAGGATAGGGTAATCGAGCAGTGCAGCAGACGTAATGCATGATATGCGGCCACCTCACTGATGGCAAAGATGATACAGCAGTGAAATGGGGACAGGACTGAGTGTTACCTGTGACAGCTGAAGTACTATGTGTAGTACTGTCCACTGACACTGAAAATAGCACATACTCCTAGATACACACGCGACAGTGATGGGTGCGTAAGTGCATCAGCGGACATCTGTGAAAATGTTCATAGCAGCAGTAGCCATAATGGCACCAAAATGGGAGCCCAAATGTGTATCTGGTTAAACAAACTGTGATCTATGTATACAGTGAAGCATTATACAGCAACAAAATTGAACAGAATACAGCTACACTCAACAAGATGGGATATATTTCATAAATACTATTGAGCAAAAGAAGACACCAAGAGACAAAAGGGATGAGTCCATTTATTTAGAGCTCAAAAGCAAACAAAGCTAAACTATACTCTTTAGAGGTATAGATTTGGGCAATAACACTCTTAATAAAATCAAGGACACGGTTACTAAACAGGCATGATGGAGGTGCCCCTTAGCAAGGATGGGGGCAGTCAGGGCTGGGAAAGGTCTTGGCAGGTGCAGGCCCTTTTTTCTCCCCATCCGGTGATTCCATGAGTACGTACTTTGGGTGGATTCTTTCAGGCCCACAATTATATTTCATGCCCTTGTCTATTGTGTATTAAAATGCACACTAAAATGATTTAAAAAAGAAGCAAGACAATGACAGAAGTTCATGATCACTTTTGAGAGGGAGAAACAGGAGAACACGAGAGGGGGAGGGGCAGGAAGGAGGCGCCGAGGCTGCTGGGGGACAGTCCGGAGAACAGAACCCAGAGGCAGAGTGGCCAGGAAGGGACCTGGGAAATGCCCAACCGGAAGTGCTGACTGCTCCCCGAGAGAGATTGTCGTGCAAGCTCCTCTTTGACCTTTTCCATAAAATATTTTGGAAAGTGGGCTCTGCTTTCTGGTTGAACGGGACAGTTCAGGGAAAGTCAGAGAAGGCTCGGCACGAACAAAGATGGGAACTGCGCTGAGGGCCCCAGGGCTGGTGGCTGAGCGTTCTGTGTGGGTGAAGCCACCGCCCAGGTCAAAGTTCTCTCTATGCTCTTCCTCTGTCCCCTGATTTGGTGCAGGGTCGTCGCAGGCAGGGACTGTCATCTCTTTACCTCCCAGGGAAGGCAGAAAGGACATGAACTCTGACGTCTACAGACCCAGAATCGCATCTCATCTCTGACAGTTACCTGATGGGTGACCTTGGGCAAGTTTCTTAACCTTTCTGGACCTCAGTTTTTCATTGTAAAGAGGATAATAATACTTACCCCATAGGTGATTTCTATAAAATGCCTAGCAGAGGCTATAAACTGGGGACCTAAAGGGCAGATGTGTATTTTGCTTGGCTCTGTCATTTTTAAAAAATTTATTTCGTTTTTAACATGTTAAAGTCAGTAGGTACCACATAAAATCACAAATTTCTGGTTTTTCTTGTGAAACTGAAAATCTGGTCATACTGGGCCTCATCCTTAAATGGCAAAGTTGATTAGGGCTGAGTAGCCCATGGCTCTTCAGACAAGGGTGTGACTTCCACCTGGCCACAGTCCCACCTCCTCCCTATTGCCTTACACTCGACCCACCTCACTGACATTTCCCGATTGGCCCTTTAGTCCCCTGCACTGGGAACCCTGCCTGGCCCAGGATAAAAATAACCTAAATGTTGGTCCATTCCTCTCTTGATGTCATATATTTGATGTCTGAATAGTTTCACTTTCTGTTTCTTTTGGAAAAATGTTTAAAAGATATAATTGTATACAATGCTTGCGAACACTGTGTAAATATTGTATTCATGGCAGATTACCAACACTGGTATTTGATGAATAGGTGTTACTGGAAGGAAACATACAGACGAGCACAGCTTACCATGTGAGTGATTGTGGTAGAAGCCTGCTGCCACGTGTCCATTATCAACTTCTGATCTGCCTCAAAGTTTAACTCCACTTTTTCTAGCGAATAATCGATCTTGCCCTTCTGTATGGTTTTTAGTTTTGGTTTGAATGCAGCTGAATCTGGAGAAATGGATACTCGAGAAACTAGAGGAATTCTTTGGAAAACAAACAAAACAGAAATATAAAGATTTAATTTAACAGAATTTTATTTTTCATGCCCATGTTACTTTGTGAATTTTGTTGTCTTGCTTTAAGGCTCAAGTTTCCAAAGTTTTCCTGGGAGATCTTTTTAAGTAAAGACAAGACTATAAAAAACTATATGCAAATCTCTGTGGTCTAGAATGTCTTAAAAAAACAAGAAACTAGAAACGAACAATGACAAAACATAATTTTCACGCTTAATTATTAGTAATTACGAGGAAGGAGATTAAACGATGGCAATTATGAAGAAATGCAATTTTGTATCCAGGGCATTTTTCTTCCAACACGGAGAAAAATCATCCATGAAAGAGCAAAACACGTGGAAGTGGGCGTCACTCCTGAAGCGGGACTAGCGTTTGGCTCCCTGCCGGGGACACTTGGAACGCAGGGAGTGGCAGGCGTGAGGGCTGCAGGGGCAGCAGCGGTCTGGTGGCGAGTGGGGAGAGCCTCACAACCTCCCCACTCCTGCACGTGGTGACCAAGGCTGCCCCTTGGTGTTGTAAGGTGCTGTGGGGACACAGCCACATCTCCCTGCTCCTTCTGTCAACAATCTTGCTGCTCCGTGTGCAGTTTTCAGAGCTGCCTCGGGAACGTTCTATCGCCGAGGATCCCGGGATCTCCGAGATTAAGGGGCGGGAGAGAGCCAGGGCAATGCTGCTGGGCCTGGGAGCCACCTCGCTGGAGGAGGGAGGAGAGCTGTCGGCAAGGCCGGGACGGGGAGAGAGGAGTCCGAGGATGCCCTTGCTGGAACGTGTGGAGGGGAGTCGGGAGCAAAATGAGGAGACGCGTTTGGTTTGGCAGGAAGTTGCTGGGGAACAGAGCGGTGATTCAAAAAGTGGATTGTGAACCCCAGCAAACAAGCAGTTGGCCTTGTTTTGAAGCATCAGACGGGGTTTCTTGAACTTGGCTCTTTGACTCTTAGAGTGCTTGGAGTCCTGACAAGGATCCGTGCCTACAGACACAATGTGCCCAGGAGCTACTTACGACTCGGTATACGTCCACCCACAAGAACGGTTCACGTTTCAATAGCCATATGATGCCAAATCTTGGTCCAAGACACGTAAGACTCCTATTTTTCATACATTAAGGCAAAGGTGGTATGATCATCTTGAGATGTTTAATACAGTGCATCGTGCATTTCCCAACACCTTGCTTTGGAGGACAGAGTGGTGGCACATCATTTAGATGGAGAATTTCAGTTTAGAATTCATTTACTGGGGAAAACCCTGGCCTAGCTAGCTCTGCCCCTGTCAGCAAATATGAACTGGGACACAACACTTGACTTTCTGAGGTGCCGTTCCTCCCGAATTAATACAAATGGAATAATAATATCACGGTACCTCGCGCATCTCCTTGGAAATAAAATGCAATGTTCAATGCCTATTTATCACTTGAAAAAATTAAACTTCTTTTTCCCCTTTTCACATCCACCATTTCCTGCTTTCTTATGATCTGCTTCCTTGTCCTGAGAAAATACTACTCTAATTCTTAATTCTATTCTATTAATTTATTTTTAACTAATTCATATACGTTTTAAGGATTTTGAGTTTAATCTTTTATTACTTTATTTTCATTCTTAATTTTTGCTCTTTTAATGTTTTATGGTTATTGTTACTAATTCTTAGTACATTCTAATTACTAGTTATGAACGAATTACTAGTTATTATTAGGTTGCTGAAGGAATAAAATAGACAAGGTATGTAAAAATTCTTAACACTGTGGTTGTTTCCCTATGATTAAAGAGCCTGTGGTTGGTTGGTGGGTGGGTTGATACATTGATTGAGAGTTCCAGTAGACTCATAGCAGTGATTTGAGGCTGAGATTGGTGCTGATTTGTTTTGCAGAAAATAAGAACGGGCTATTCTTTTGCCTGTTTCATTCTCCTAACCAAGACATTTATAGCTTCTCCATTATGCCTGACTTGCTATTTTGTGCTAAGAACAGAACACACTACTTTGGAAGATATCAAAACTTGGCCTCTTTTGATGGCTCTGATGGTTCATATTGCCTTTGACATTTTTTTAGTATTTTTAATTTCAAAGTTCTCTTTCAGGAGCTTTCTGAGTTAAATATTTCTCCCGTATTTGTATCTTATGTTTTCTTGCTTACAGATGGGAATGACAGGGACATGATGCAGTAGGAGGAAGAAGTCTAGAGAGGGAAGAAATGGACAATGGACTTCAGATCACTGTACAACCCTGTTGTGTTCAAGTTACTTCAAATCCCTTCTGGAGTGAGGGAGGCTAAACAAACAAAGCAAGGGCATGCCACACTCACAATTAAAATCGTGCATGTAAGTGAAAGCAGTTTAATTGTCTCATTATGCAATGACAGTCATAGTCACCACTTAATGAGAATTGCTGGGACTAGACCTCAAATCTCTGATTCTCCAGCATGGTACTAAGTGCTCTGAAGATTTCATTTTCTGTGATCTTCACAACAAACCTACTTTGCAGCTCAGAAAACCAAGGCTTTCGAGAGTTGTGACATTTCAAAACAGTTATGTCACCTTATTGGACTTACATAGAGCTGGTAAATAACAGACCCAGGACTGAAACCAGGTCGATCTGACTTTAAGGCATAGTCACAACCCCACATTCAGTTTGAACGGTTCCTATTACTTGTATTGACTGAGCAAGCTTGCAGAATAAAGTGCACACACTACTTTCAACCCACGGTACCTCGCTCATCTCCTTGGAAATTAAATGCAACGTTCAATGCCTGTTTATCACTTAACAAAATTAAACTTCTTTTTCCCCTTTTCACATCCATCATTTCTTGCTTTCTTTTGATCTGCTTCCTTGTCCTGAGAAAATACTACTCTAATTCTTAATTCTATTCTATTAATTTATTTTTAATTAATTCATATACATTTTAGGGATTTTGAGTTTAATCTTTTATAACTTTATTTTCATTCTTAATATTTTCTCTTTTAATGTTTTATGGTTGGGAATCACATCACATGACTTACCACCATGGTCACCTCCTGCTTCTTAAGGCATTTTCCTATCTGTTCGTAGCTTCTCGGGGTTTGGGATCTGGACTCCTCCCCCGTCCCTACTCCACTGGGTCTATAAAAACTACTTATGAACCTTTTATATGACACAGGAATGTTTAACTGAAAATATAATTTTTGTTCTACTCTTCCCACCAAGTTAATTTTCTTGCTGGCAGGAATTTGATGTCTTTTCATCTCACAAAGTTATAATCACATATGATTGAGCCTTTAGTATTCTCAATTTCTTACCTGTAAAAGAAGACTCCTAACTCCTTCAGTTTTTATTGACATAATATGACACACACACACACACACACACACACAGACACACACAGACACACACGCAATAGCTTGAGACCTTTCATAAAGAGGCAGAGGTTCACAACTCCTTACTGGAAACACTTGGGGTCAAAAGTGTTTCAGAATTCAAAATCCACACATACTATATGTTCTCTAATATCCCTGGCAAAGTCTGTGAAAGCACTCCTAACAAAACACATACACCTTTGCAGCAAAAACGAGTAAATATTCCCCACAGTGGGATAAATAATGCATATCAATAGTCTAAAGTCGAAGTTAGGAAAACATTTCAATTTTTAGAGTTTTGGATTTGCAGATACAGTAGTGTGGTTTTTATTAGTGGTATTCAATTTAAAATCACAAAGCTTCATTTCAGACCAATTATAGTGCAACATGATAGCCTGTCTTACCTAAGATGGTTTTCCAGAATGTCCTTATTATCCATTTGGACCAATGGGATGCGGGTGAATTTCTTACTGTCATCTATGGGGATTTTGGATTCCATTGCCCTGTAATAATCTTGAAGGAATCTCCTTGTATCTTGAAAACGGTTCAGTTCTGCCTTCAACAGCAAATATAGTGTTAATACCACTCTCAAAAATACCGAACAGATCTGTACATATTTTCTAAATAAGCTTTGTAAATGCTATTTTAAAACATTTAGGTTGAAATCAATCTTCTGGAAATTAAGAAAGAGAATTGGCTACAAGTGTACATGTAAAATTCATGAAAATTAAAGAAAACTGGTGAGTTTGCATTTTCTGTACTTATTGGATATGACTCCACTAAACAAGGTAACATTTCTATGCCTCTTGATACTGTGACAAAAGACTGTGTGGTGTGTGAAGTAGTGCAGTGGGTATTATTCATCATTTTTACATTAAGAATTCTCCCTGGGTCCTGTATTCCATCTGTCAGACACCCGTTCCATGGGTGTCTTCTGTCATAGGTCAAATGTTAGTTGATTTGACAGATACCAAAAATATTATAAATATAAATATAAAATACAAATACAGATACAAATACAATAAAAACGAAAAACAAAACTAACACTGAAATACAAAACAAGACTTGGGTGGGCCCTCTAGTTGTGGACAAGTGGTAAACAGTGAGGTGCAGAGATGGTGACTAGGTCTCTTCCCACAGTCCCCCCGCCCCCCCCCCCCCACTCAGCACGTCAGGTAAGGAGACCACTGCCCCACGCTCGCAGGCAAACCCCTCTGTGGCTTTGCCAGTAGGTGCCTTGAGGGAAACGGAAAAGCACAGAGGAGCTGGTGACAAGGTGGGCATCCATTATTTATGCGTGACCTCCTGCCATCCAGGTCATTTCCCCTTGCAATGACCCACAAGGTAGACCCATGGGTTTTCCCACCTCTTCTCCTAGTAGGTGTCAGACTAGTGGGCACCCCGTGCCTCTCTCTGCTTGAGTAAACATGACCTCCAGACTTTGTTTCGGTTAGTGGGGTTACTCAGATAGGTCCCCGAGGGCTTCAGGACTGGAGGGAGTTTTTAAGCAGATGTACTCCGGAGAGCGGGTCCATTATAGAAAGCTCTTTCCGCAAAGGAACAAGGCAAAGCGCTTAGCTGCACCTAATCCAAGGATACTTATGAAGGGATCTCTATATTTATCAAGCAATTAATGATGTCAGTTACTTCATAAGACATCAAGAAATTGTCTTGTACAATTCACATTCAGTTTGGAACAAATAAATGTCTGCTTTGCATTGTAGTCTACAACAAAAGCCAAGAACAGTTTCAAGAAGTTTGTTTCGATCCTGAAAAGCTCAGCTGAATGGCTTCTGCAAAGCTGTTTTCTGCCTTATCAACCTTTTCTATCAACCAAGCTAAAAGAATGAAACAGGAAGAAATTTATTTGGTTAATCTGAATCTATGTTATATAGTCAAATTACCATTCATATATTTTTTTTAAATTATGGAACATACTTTAAATACTCTTGGATTTTAAATATAAATATATAATTAGGTAACTTTTAAAACTAGCATTTTGAAATGATTAGGAACACTAAACATTTTTCTCTTTCCTTGCCAAGAAACCAAAGAGAGTTTTTAAATATCGAGATATAGACTGATTTCTCAGTTGGGCAGTGTTTGTACCTGTCATGCTTGGATTTGCTAGAACGATGGAGGGAAAAATGAGTCTCGTAGACTATACTCATGAGCACCTGTACAAAACCATCTCGACAGCGAGCATCATGCACAGGTAAACCCAATGTGTGCAAAACAGATACTGACAAGTAACCAGAGCAGTGAAGATATGTTGTGAGATTATAAAAATTATCAGTCAGCAAACTATAGCATTACATTATTTGGCAAATAAATTCAGAGACCAGAAAATTATTTCCTCTTTGATTTAGAGAACAGAATTGTTTAATTATGATTAAGTTTAGTAGATCCTATTTTATACAACTGATTTGAGACAGTGCTGGTATCTGTGCCCTAGGCTAACCTTGTTATGTTATTTTATATAACAGATTAATTGATTTTTGAGGGCAGCATTTGATACATCTATAGCTAACTATGAATAAGATGCCATTCTATATCGAAGATTCTCATATAAGCAGAATTAAATAGGACTCCTCTCACATTTATGATAACTAGTAAATAATGCTTTATTATTTCTCTTGTCATAAAATCTTAGTGAAACAAATTTTAGAAATTATCTAGGATAGCATTCTCTAAAGTGTATGTATTTAGAAAACACATCCTATAGGCTTTTTTGCCCCATGGTTGGTTTTAGCTGTGGATTCAGTTTCTCAGCCAGAGAGCCTTAAATTTTGGGATTAGTGAGATGTGAGAGTTGTACCATTTCCAAGTATTTCTCAGATTAATGAGAATGATTCACAAAAATTATCTATTCCCTTTACCTGCACTAGTGGATTTCAGGTATTTCTGCTACAAGCTTTTGACACACCTGTCCCAACATGCAGTTTCTGCCTGCCCAGACTCGTGTCCTGGAACGCTACCCAGACTGGCTGTAGCTGCTTGGGCGGATCACTTTAATCCTTTGCACGGTCCGTGCCTTAGAGCTCTCATCAGGACCCGAGTCAGAGATTGGTGAGGCTGTCCCTGCCTCTCAGGTCTCTGCTAACCTTTCAAGCCTCCTGCGGTCTGACCTGCCACCGCACCCGGGTTTTGTTCCTTTGGATGTTGGAAGTACTGGCACTCATGGTCATTTATTAAACAAGCATTTAGTGAACACCTACTGTATGCTAGCTCTGGCGATTGCCAGCTAAGTATTCTCATTTCCTGCAGTAGCTCCTCGTGTAAGTGAATCGACTGAAGACCCAAAATGTCTCTTTTTCCATCGTCTGTCCTTACTGCTATTCTCTTAGGAAAAAAAAAAAACTCATGTAGACACAGCTTGACCAAGATAGCCTTCGTATTCCCCTCAGTGTGACTACATTTCAGACGGGCTTTGTCCTTTTTTTATCCTCACCCGAGGACATTTTTTGCATTTATCTTCAGATAGAGCAGGAGGAAGAGAGGGAGGAAGAGAGAGAGAGAAACACTGATGTGAGAGAGATACATCAAGTGGTTGCCACCCACACAACGGCGACCAGGGCTGGGGACAAACTGAAACCGAAGTACGTGCCCTTAGCGGGAACTGAACCCAGGTCTCTCTGGTCTGCGGGCCAGCACTCTAACCGCTGAGCCAAACTGGCCAGGGTTTTTCCTAACTTGAGGCTCCTGACCTCCCTTGTTCTTAGAACATTTACTTTAGAAAACTTTGCTAAGATCTGGAAACAGCCCAAGTGTCCATCAATAGATGAGTGGATAAAAAAGCTGTGGTACATATACACAATGGAGTACTACGCAGCTGGAAGAAAGAGGGATCTCTTATTCTTAGAGATGACATGGAGGGACCTGGAGAGTATTATGCTAAGCGAAAAAAGCCAATCAGAGAAAGACAAGCATCACATGATCTCACTTATTTGTGGAATATAATGAACAAAAAAAGCTGATGAACAAAATAGACCCAGAGACATGGAAAGGAGCACGGTCCAGACTGACAGACCTCAGAGGAGGGGGGCAGGGGGAATGGATGAGATAAACCAAAGAACGTATATGCATGTACGCATAACCCATGGACATAGACGACAGTGCCTGGGGAGGGGGGCAGGCTGGGGAGGAGAGTGTCTAGGGGAGGAAAGGAGAAATATCTATAACAAAAATAAATTAATTAAAAAAAAAAGAAAACTTATTATTGTAAATCCTTTCTCTGTCTCCTTGAGATCTCTTTTAATAAGCTTCCTGCCAGTTTTAGAACCCAGACTGTCTTTCTCTAGGACGGGGGAGCCATCTCTCTGAAATGTTGGCATCAAGGAAGAAAGCCCCCAGGTCTCGGTTCCTCTGGAAGGGTCATTTGCTCCAACTGGCGTAACTTCCTGCTGTTATGAAGACAGGAGAGAGTTGACTCTCCCTTTAGGCAAGGCTGATTAGAAAACACGGTGGCCTATTAATCCCCCCCGCCCCGCAGCTCTTAAAATCTCCCCACTCTTATCCTTGGAAGAGCTGGGTAGCTGCACTTGGTCTGTGCTCTCTCCGCTACTATTGACAGTGTCTAGGAATAAAATCGACATTTGTCCTCTTGTCCAGTGCGACTTGCTGTCGAACATGCTGCAGATATAAGTTAATCAGGTTGTTCTGATGAATGGTTTGCTTTCCCAATCCAGATAGAACCTCCTTTCTGGCATCGAGTGCCCGCTGAGTCTGGTCTGGGGCAGGGCTGCTTTCCTGGGCCTCGCTGGCCACTTTGGGTGTCTGCTGGGAGAGGCTGATGAGGGAACGACCATCAGAGACACCCTCTCTGCTGTCCCCGCCACAGCGCCAGGTCACCTGGGAGCAGGGCTGGTGAGTGGCTGCTTGAGACGCTCCCAGTTCTGGTGCCTGCTTGGTTGGGGCCAAACTGCTTTCTTTCAGCGAACTTCCTGGGCTTGGAGCTCAGGGCAGGAATTGCGCTGTGAGCAAAACGAGCCCTGAACAGAGCCTTCCCGTTCCCAGAGGGCCCGTGACAGAGGACCCGTCTGGGTCATCCTGACCGGCGTGCTTACCTGCATCAGCGAGAAGAAGTTGTTCATCATTATCCCGATGGTGTCCTGCAGCCAGCTGCTGTTAATGATGTCCAGCCGCTCCTGCTCCGCCTCCTCCTTCCGGGCATCGCAGATGTCCCACAGGCGGTCTCGTAAGTCCTGGACAGAAAGAAACGTCGCTGTTCTGCTTAAGGGTCACGGCTCAGATGACCTCAGTGTCATAAAACTAAAATCCTTTGCTTATCTTAGAAATGTCCCTAAAGAAAGTTTAGACCTAATGCACTTCAACAAAATTGATTTTGCTTCTACTCTGTCTGAAAGACACCAAACCAATGCCCATGTCTGCCACAAACCCACTGCAGAGCACTTTATTCATGGTGCTATCCTGGGTTCTAATCCTCCCTCCGAACACATGGCTGCTGCATCAAAATCTGGCCATCAAAAAATGTAGCGGGGACGTGGACAGAAATGTCATAGTCACAGGGGTTCTTACTTACTTTCATCCATTTTTGCAAGATCATGTAGGTATAAAAATGTAAAAAAAAGAACAGAGCAATTGTCTAAAGCAGAATGACCTAGGACACTCTAAAAATGGAATGTGATATGAAGGCCCATCCTAAACCTGAAAAGAGTTCAAACACAGGGCCTAAAGCAAACGCAGGTTTTTTAACGTTACAGGTTTCTACACCCCTCCTGAGGGTCCACTGCTAAAAAGACTTATAATGACATTAATGTGGTTGACTCGCCAACACTTATTGGACATTCCAAATGGAGACTATATATTATTCTCTGGTATCCATCTTCAATATATAAAAATTTTTCATATTTTAGACAACTGAAAAATTAACATAAATTAAACATTTTAAATAAATTTGAGTTATTGAAATAAATTAATTATATAATCTTGAAGTAGAGATGTATTTTTAAAAACCGATCATAAAGGCCAGCTATGAAGAACATTTTTCTATATTCATCTACACAAGCATTAAAGAACTGCTGCCTGTTAAAACTCATCTCAAATCATAAAGGCAAGTGCTCTTCTAGTGCTGGGGGAGGGGGCGGTGCTTGATTCATGAGTTGCTTAACAAAGCCAATGTGATCTTCAAAAAATAATAATATAAAGGCAAACATCAAATTAGAAATATATTTGTAACATATGAGCAACAGATAGTTTATAGCCTTACTATATAAAGAGGTCTTAGAAATCAATAAGGAAAAGAACACACCCCAACAGAGAAATTGAAACAAATCATAAAAAGGTTTTAGGAGGAAGAGAAGTAACAATGACAAACTTACAAAAAAAAAAAAAAAAAAAATAGTTAACCTCAATAGTAAAAATAGAAATGCAAGTTACAGAAGATATCTAATTTTAAGATATTTAATGTTTTGCTCATTAAATTGGAAGAGATTAACAAAAATGATAGAACCAAATAATACATTCTCATAATCTGTCATTTGAAGTAAAATTTGCAGATTTTTAATGTGTTTAATGCCTATATAGTTTTATTAACCCTGTCACCCCAATAAGTTTAATTAAAAAAAATAAAATACACAATAAAGAAAAAAAATTTTTTAAAGCATAATTTTAGATTCAGCAATTTCACTTTTTTAGGAATTTGCCCAAGAAAATAATTAAGGATGTGGTAAAGATTTCATGGGATAAAATTTCACTGTATAATTCTCTATAATAAAAAGTTGGTGCTCAATAAGTATTTGTTGATAAAATGGTGAATAATAATAGAATTTTGTTATATACATTATAATGTCAATTAATGAAATATCTTTTAGACAAAAATAATGAGGTAGATGAGTTTTTTTACTGAGAATGAAAACATGTTCTATGTTGAAAAAGATTGTTACAAACCAATATGTATGTTACAGTCACATATTTTGCAAAAATAATTGTCCCAAAGTAGTAACAATGTTAATTAATGGCAATGGGATCATGGATTTGCCATTTTAAATTTTACTTTTTATTATGTAATTTATCTACAACAAATGTGATACATTTGAAATTAGAAAGAAAATCCCATATGAGAGATTTTAAATTTAAAAACCTTCTCATTCTATCAACAGTCATCTGACTGATATGGGGAAGCCACTTTCAGAATGGCTGATGTCTGTAAGTAGGAAAGAGACAGGAAAGGCAGGTATGTTTTGGATTTACATAGCTATTAATTACTGCTTGAGGAATTTCTCAGGACAGGTATAAAATACTTTAGCTCTACTGGGACATTTGTTAATTCAATACCTCTTGGGTTAAATCCTCCGTGGGCACCCTGCTTATCCAAGTCATCATGATGCCTCCTCTCAATTTCAGTGGCTTCTCAACTGGTTTCCCAACTGGTCTCCCTGCTGCTTTTACTCTCCTAGAGACTCTTTTAAAACCAGATCCTAAGGCTTCAGCTGTCATTCAGATAATAACCTCAAAGGCCTTCCAGTGGTTCTCAACCTTCCTAATGCTGTGACCCTTTAATACAGTTCCTCATGTTGCATGTGGGCGGACCTGCCTGGAGACGGGCAGAGGAGCCGTGTCTCAGTTCCTAAGACCATCGGAAATCTGTGTTTTCCGATGGTTTTAGGCAACCCCTGTGAAAGGGTCGTTTGGCCCCCAAAGGGGTGGTGACCCACAGGTTGAGAACCGCTGCCTTGGACGATCTGGCCTCCTAGGAGCTCGGACCTCCTCACCAACCCCTCTGACCCACCTTCTCTCTGCGCCAGCCACACCTGCCTCTGCTGTTCCTCAAACACACCAAGTACCCTCCCCTTCCAGTGCCTTTCTTTGCCTGGTGTTTCCCGTGACTGACGCACTCTCCCCCACACGTCTACGTGGCTCACTCAACCACTTCTGTGCTGAATTTGCACAAATGTCACCTTCACGGTGGGCCTTCCACACCCGCTCTCGAGAGAAGCGTTCAGACCATTTCCTTCCCCATCCTCACACCTCAGGGAAGCAAGAAGGGGGTGGGTTGAGGGTTGCAGCACATTCCAGAGTGTGGAGGCCGGCCCGGCAGCTCAGACTCCCTTACATTCACTCTCTCATGTATTTCCGCCTTGATTTCCTCATCATCCCACATGTCCTCAGGAAGAGAGTTGAAATCAGCCTGCCATTGAGATACAAAATCTTGCTTGTGATCTGGCCGCCTTAGAAACTGCTGGAAACTTGTTCTGTAAGGCATTAAGAGAATGAGCGAGAGCTTGCACGTCCTGCCTGGAAACTACAAACTTCGAACTTCGGAAGCTTGACTCACCTGATGTCATATAAGAAAGCAATGACAACATGCTGGTCTTCTCGCAGGTTCCTGAGCACTGTTTTGATGGAGTTTACGTAGGAATTTTCTATTAGTTCCCAGTAAGGTATTAAAAATGAAGGTATTTCCTGTTAAATGGTAAAGCATAATAATCTTAATTTCAAAGCGAAATGTCTTCTGAATAATTGAGTCAAAGAGCAGTACTGAGCAAGAAGATCAAGATGCAACTGCTAATATTTAAAACATTCTCTGAAGAACTCTTGCTCCTTTTTTCTTCCCCTCCCCACAGCTAGGTCTTGAGACAATCCGCCTCATAAAGCTAGGGACAATGGTTGTCTTACTCGTGACTTTACAGTTTTCCCTACGATTCCCACGATGTCTGGGAGACAGAGTAAGTGCTCAAGAAATATTTACTGAGTGAATGAATTAATTGAATTGTCACAGATATCCCATTTTACCTACAAGAACTTTATGAGAATGGTTAAATACTGTTTTGAACTCAAGATATACCATGTCCATGGTCCTTCCTTGATCCATCTGTCCAAACCTGCTGTCAAGGGAAAGGAATGAGCCAGTTCAGCAGGACTTAGCCTTAGTGAACCCGTGTGAGCTCCAGGTGATAATTTTGGTATTTTATAAGTGCTCAGAAGTCATACATTTAATTGTTATATTTTGAATTTTGTCGGGGATTAATATATAAATTATTGGTCTGTATATCACTAAATCCCATTTGCCTTTCATTAAATATCTAGACATTTGTCTACATCTGGTCTTCCAGAATCTCTCATATCCTCTGTGATTTGAGTTAATGATAATGTCATATCTCTAGGCTCTTCCAATCTCTAGGATGTAATTTTTCTGGGTCTCGGAACACAAATTTATGTGATAGGACTATGTGTTCAGATCTATCCTTTCCAATTAACTAGTATTCTCTTCATTGGACAAGACTGAGCATAATAGGAATTCGGTAGGCGACGCAGAGATTCTCCAATGCTTCAGAAGTGGAAAGCATAGACCTCTCACTTTGACTGCCTCCTTGGTTCTCTCTGCACTTTCCCTGTGGCTGTCAAAGGAGGAAGGACCAAGGTTCTCCTTGAACTTGGCTGCTGATTCCACCTGAGATAGCCAGGTATGAAAGCAATCTCTCTCTCTCTCTCTCTCTTTCTACCCCCCCCCCCATCCCAACTATCTATTGAGGTAAGGTAGATCTGGGGTCCTTGTCAGTCCTAAAACTAGTGCTACTAGGTAAACTATAAGATGTCCAGTTAAATTCATAGATTATCTGCAATTCGAATTTTACTGGGCATCTCTTTCCTGTTCCTTGGCAGGTAAGCTCTACAACTCACGTGAGAAGCTTAGAGTGGGAAAAGGATGAGAGGGGATCATATGGCCTGCTTTGCTTTGCCGGCTCTAGGCTGCTGCTTCTGGTTGTAGCAAAAGGTGTTTTCTGCACTGTTTTGCTTAGGTAACCACAGGTCGGTGCTGCACATCGTCTCATTGCCCTTCTAGACCAACTCCCCATCCTTCATTCTTCACCTTGTTCAGTGCCCTGGAAGACTAGCTTATGAGAACTACTTCAGGAAACACCCTTACTCTCTACCTCCTGGACAAGTGATAAGAGAGCAGAAAGAACATGAGGTTTGACTATGTATTTCCCTGCCCCTTTCTGCTTGGTCACTGTGGGTGGCTCCATCCCTCTGCTGAAGGTCACAGCCCCTGTAAGGTGGCCCTCTCCATATGGAGGTCCTCACCTCTTCAGGCCTAGGGGCTATACTGGCTCCCAGGTATCCCTCTTTTGGGGATAATAATCTAATCCTTACATATTTCCTTACTTATTGGTCACATATATGTAAATAGTCCCTTTGGACTCTCCTTAATTTATTTTCTGCTTTCTGCCAGAATCTTGACTGCTAGAAGACCTACATGGCAGCTGGTGCCACATCTCAGTTAATGTTCATTTTTCTACTCCTGTCCTCCTTTTCCCTCTTGTCCTCTATGATTTTATTTCTCCAGGGCTTCAAGACTTGGAGTTAAAGACTGGATTTCAATATTTTTGTCCCTTACTCTCAATCCCTGCTAAATAATGTCATTTAAATTTTATCTCCTCCCAACCACCACTTGTATATCCTGCTTCTGTGATAGGTTTTTAACATATTTATTTTTAAAAATACCTTTGTTTGGCTTAGTGATATCAATTATATACATCCATAATTATATAATTTCATGTCCTCATCTTGATGTTTTTAATTAAAACAAATTTTTTTCCTTTATGATTTTAGAGAGAGAGGAAGGGAGAGGGGAAGAGAAATAGCAACATCGATGAAAGAGAACACTGATTGGCTGCCTCCTGCATGCCCCTCTCTGGGGATCGGGCCCACAACCTGGGCATGTGTCCAGACCAGGAATCACACCAGTGACCTCTTGGTGCATGGGTCAACGCTCAACCACTGAGCCACACCAGCCGGACTCATCTTTAGATGTTTTTTGTTGTAATTTTCCCCTCAATGTGAATGAATTAATTGAAGAGTTTATGATGTAATTGGAGAGATAAGACATTTCTCTAGGAAACCTCAATAATAACAGCAACATCATAATTGCTGCAATTCATGATCGAGTCTCAAAATGCCTGGCACGAATGGTCAGCTAAAGGAAAGACCATTCTCTGTGATTTTCCTAAGATGATCTATCTATTAAGGCAAGCAGGTGTGTCAAGGTGGCAACTGGGCTATTCAGAGAACAAAGAACAGAATGGACCTTCCAGGGGTGACCTGGGGCATCTTCTCACCTTAACCAGAGAACCCAGATAACTAGCTGTTCTTTCATTAGTGTACTTAGCTTCAAAACATGTCTTCTATTTCTAAAAGTTAGAGAGGTTAAACTTCATTTGAAAGCACTATGATGTGGGCATGAGTACATGGAGAAAGGGCTGTAATTTGCTGGCTATGTGTTCTGGAGAAGTCATTTTTCCAGGAAACTGCATCTCGGCTTGTCCCTGGTGAGAAAATTGGTCCTCACAGACCCGTGTGCTCCCCTGCTTTGAGCACCCCCAGCAGTCCTGAGCATGACTCAGAACCTTGAGGGCGTGGAGAATGGATGCCACGTGGTCCGATGAGTAGTCTCGAAAAATCCTCTCGGCTTTCTGATGAATGTATCTGTCTATCTCAGGCTCTGAGCGGCCTCTGAATGCTGTGAATAATGGTGTAAATCTTACTACAAATAAGACAAGAAAAGACTCTACTCTCTTGAATCTAAACGGCCGTACCTCAGGAATTGGTTCATTCACGTAGACCCATTCTTCTGATCCCGGCTTAGGTGGTGGCAGGACTGTGGTAGGTGACATGACTGTGGACTCAGCAGGTGACTTCTTTCCTGTCCCTTTTCCTCCTGCGTGTTTTCCTTTAGGAGAACCTTAAACATGCATGTTAAATCATTCCACTACGAGCAGATGAATGGGCCAGATTCTGGTGGGTGAGTAAATCTATGATTGCCATGGGTGTCAGGCAATTCATTAGTTACTTTATAAGCAACTCTGGGCAGCATCACCTGATCAGAAACCAAAACCCTCATTCTCTACAGCCCAGAAATGAACCAATAATACGATCATTTTTTTGTTTTGTTCTGTTTTGTTTGTTTTTGTAAGCAATATAACCTCTCTCATTCATTTGGCTATGAAAAGCAACTTGATGTTTTATTTTCATCTCCATCCTTGCTCCCACAATGAACATATGGTTATTGCAAAGTTGAGAGTCTAGAGAAAAGTGCATTTTATTTGCTATTGCAAGAACTGGCAAAGGAAACTCTTCACGCTGAGTGAGAGAGAGGCCGCTCCATAGTGTGGTGCCTAGCGCCCGTGAGGCCCGGGAAGGGGCGGAGGGGAAGGAGGGTACTGTAGGAGTCAGCGGAGCCGGTGAGGGGCGTGTGGGAAGAGAAGGTGTATTACAGCTCCCGAATATTCCCATGTTGCATGCATAGGCACAACACTGGCTTTCTGAGTGGAAAACTGTATTTCTTGCTAAGTCAGGGAGCACGCACGAGGGTAACTGCAGTTCAGCCGGGCTGAACGGGGGCATTAAAGAGACAGAAGGAAAAGGGACACAGGGCAGACCAGGGAGAGCAGGGAAAGAGAGAGGAAGGAGAAAGGGAAGAAGGAAGAGGAAGAAGGAGACAGAGCCCTAACTTTCCGTTCAGCACCCAGACCAGTTAAGTGGCACCCTAACTGGCTAAAAGACCGAGTGAGCGAAGGACCTGGATTCAGGAAGAACCAATATTTTCTGAAAGGATCAAGCTGTTAGAGTTTAGACATTCATTCTGTTTAAATTCTACTTATCTTCAGATTAACGACTGAGATTTTAGATGCAGTGTATAGATGAGTAGAATTGGAAGCACATTCTTTCCCAAATACATATTTGGGTAATGAGTTATGAATAATAATGCTGATTAGAAAGTAGATGTATATTCTATTTTTATACTAGTTAAATATATGGATTACACGTAGAAAGGAAATTGTATCTTGTGGGCAGTTTAGGTGACTTCTACTTTTTAAATTTAGAAACATTTAAGAAAATCTTTGTTCAGTACATAAGCAAAATGCTAATTAGTTTTTTCCTGTTGATGATCTTTCATCCTTTGACTTGACTCTCTGGTGAAATAAAAGTGATAATGTTGTGCCCACTTTAAGATACATTTTGTTAAGAAAAATTCCTAAGAAGAAGAACTTTGCAATGATAAGTGTGAGATGAAATAAGTTTCTTTTTCCTCTTCACCTATTTCAGATATTATTCAACACAGTAGAATTTAGTAAAATAAGAGCAAACAATTTTGTAAGTCCTTGGAGTTACTTAAATTGAGCTGACTATATTACTCTAGTGTATGTATTTTATTGGCTGAACTTATATTTGGTCATTGTTTGTGTAGTCTGTATGCTTTTAACTAGGGATGATCTTAGGCAGCAGTTCTCAACCTGTGGGTTGTGACCCCTTTGGGGGTCAAATGACCCTTTCACAGGGGTCACCTAAGACCATTGGAAAACACTTATTTCCGATGGTCTTAGGAACCGAGACACGGCTCCTCTATCCGTCTCCAGGCAGGTCCGCCTACATGCAGATACGCCCACATACAACATGATGGACTGTGTTAAAGGGTCGTGGCATTAGGGAGGTTGAGAACCACTGATGCACTGTTATGTCTGCCTTGATGATTTGGTACCTAATACACTGATGCACTGTTATGTCTGCCTTGATGATTTGATACCTAATACACTGATGCACTGTTATGTCTGCCTTGATGATTTGGTACCTAATACACATAGGTATAATGAACTGCCACTTTTGATGATTCTGTGATAATCTTTCATTTGATTGTGTTGATCACAATAAGAAAGCAAGGGATGAATGATGTAAATGTGAAAATTATTTTCCCATTAGTATAAGCAGGTGAGAGGTGAGCATAAATGATAGCTCTTCACATCTCAGCTAAAATTTTTATCTCGGTGCTAACTCACCAAATGGCTCTAGGTATTGAAACCCCTCACATCATTTAATCAGAGAAGGGTGGGATTCTCTTTGAGATTCATAATTATGCATCTTTATTTATTTTTAAAATTAATTAATTTATTTTTGTTACAGATGTTTCTCCTTTTCCCCTCACTGATTCCCCCCTCCCCCTCCCTCCCTGCCCTGTCCCCAGCTTTGTTGTCCATGTCCATTGTCCATGCACACATGCATATGAGTTCTGTGGTTTATCTCTACCCCACCACCCCCACTTCTGGGCATTGTCAGTCTGATAATTATGCATCTTTAAATGTCAAAAATAGATAGGTTTTTAGCACATCATTTTGTGCTAAAAATGTTGCACAGTTATCACTTCTTGGCCTTTTGGCTAAGATTAAGTACTGTATCTGTTCTTATCAGTTTAAAAATGTTGCACACTCTTGGGAGGCAACTACAGTGGCAGTTTGTAATGAATGTTAAACAAAGGTGCACCCTTCATGACAGACCATTTGAATGCACCCTAGAAAATGATACTGCCTTTCAAGTTCTAGTTAATTGGTCACTACAGCCACTTCAACATACATCTAACCAATATGCTTTTAGAGGCTGGGGTTTTCTTCTGCCAACTGTCAGGAACTTTAAAAATGTATCCCCCTTATTTCACAGAACTAGTTAAAATAAAATAGAAAAAAGCATAAGCAAAATTAAGGTCAGGAAAAATACAACTTAAAGGAGAACGTCAAAACCAGGAGAGGAATTAGAAGGCAGAGCCTGAGATCCATCCTTGCCCAGATACTAAATCTGAGCCACTAATTTGGTTCTAAATTTTTAGACAGAAAAATAGAAAAGAGGAAATGCTATCATTTAATTAATTATCTAACCACTTAGAGGAAGAAAGATGTTCCTATCCCTTGATTCTAAATGAATTTTCTCACCTAGGGTTTCAGATAGGGGCCGTTGAATGATGTGGTGGACATGCTACCCCTTCAGAAGATATAATTCCAGATTATTGGTCTAATGAAAGGTTCACCCCCACTGCTGTGTTACGTCATGAAGGTAGTTGAGGATTTTATACCAAAGTGCTTACCAGGAATAACAATTCCATGGGGACCCAAAAAATACGGTTCAGTATATACCTTTCTGATGTCATATCTTAGCTCAAGGATAACACCTATAATGTCCGTGATGAATGGATATTCTGTACACTAGATATTCTCTAAATGATGCCTTACAAGTATCATTTTTCTCAGCAGGACCTTTGCTAAAGCCAGGTTACAGAAACACTGAGGTTATATTCTTTGGCAGGGGCTTATGGTTTACAAATGCCTGAGAAAAGTATTCAGTATGTACTACTATACAAATCTAGTTTTCCACTAAGACAGAAAATGCAGAATTAAATTTAATATCTACCTTTATCTGTTGTAGTTTTTCTTTTGAGTGAAGTTTCACCTTTCTTCCCTTTTCCTTCCTGATGAGATTCTTTCACACCATGTGTGGGCTCTAAACAAAATTCAACACGTACAGATCATAGATGGTTTCCTTCAATAGTCTGAGCTACATGGTTTGTAAGCAATCAAATGTTATTTCTTACAGATAAACAGTTACATTTGTGGAGCCCATAAAATGGCTCAGGCCTTTACTGTGTATTAAAATGTATCCAAAGACAGACGATGGATCAAAACTTCTTGAATGACAGCTTTACTAGCACTATTCTATTTGGTCACACACAAGTTCATTCCTAGTTTAATACCAACATTTTGTAGTGGATTTGATTGTAAATTCTTCAATGCAACAGAGCTGCAGAGTTTTAAAAGTCAGTCACAATCCATCTGAAGAATATGGCCCTCTTGGATTTATTTCAACTTTGATCTTTATACAAATGACAACTAGGTTGGTAATAGAATGATGCCAGACACCCTGACAAAGAGTTAAATAACCACGTGTATTGATATGGCACATCCTTGAACTTCCCCTGACCACACACTTGGTTGTCTTGTGACTTCTATAGTTCCATTTTGCACTGACTGTAACTTGCAATGTGAAGGGTAGACTGGATACCCTGGAATCTAGTTCAAATATATATTGGAGGGAACTGATGATCTAGAGGTCAATAAGATGTCCCGAATAATAAAACGGTTCCTTAAAAAAATTCACTACATCCTGCGTTGTTCACTAAACAAATTCAGTCATTCTTCTCCCTTTCTCCTGAACTACAGTTTTTTTATCCCTTCAGTAGAAAGATGAATCTATGGGACAATTTAAATGCCTTTGACAGAGAGACCCCATCTGAACCTATTCTTTGTATTTAGAAGTGACAGTCACAAGAATGTGTAAGCGCATGGCGCATCTCTTACATCCAAACATCTCAGACCCAACAACCAAGAGTCCACAGGAATAGGACCAGTGCAAGACAGAGGAGTAACCTCAAAACTTTGTTAACTTCTATAAAAGGACTTTAAACATCCACATAGTTCACCTCCAAACTCATAAATAAGTAAGTAGATACATAAATAGCCTAATGTTTGAATTCATTGCCTTATAAAGAAATAAGCTTAATAATAATCATCATCATCATCTACATAAGCTTCTAGTTCCTTTAATAACAACACTCTGGGTAACCAACTATTTAACAAGCTCTAAACAAGCTCAAAGCAACAGAGAAAAGAAGGTAAAACTAGAGACACCTAGGATACTGAGCTTACACAGTGTTGTGGGCAAGTCTAATTTCTGCTGAGAGCAGCAGGTACTCTCTCCACTTTTTTTTTTTTTTTAAATAAATCATTTCTAAAATATATTCTGAATCTCAAAAAATATTCTTAAGTAGCAGCATGGGTAGTGCTATTAATTTTATCATGTTGAGGATTTTAGTTTTAAATGAAATTCTGACATTTGGTAGGATATTTGATAATAAACTCTTTAATAGATCATAACTGATGTTTTTAAAAATTTAATCCCAAGTGCATTTGAAGCAGATATAAAATGCAGAACCATATCCAATGTAGAATATTTGGACAAAAATAACTTACTACTCAGTGTGTTATGCCTCCATCTTACCCCATGTCCACCCTGATTTTTTTTTTTTAGTAAATAATTCATCTCTTCTTTTCATCTCAACTTCAAAAGGTGATTGCAACTGGGTGTTTGAGTTGGGCATGTTCTGAGGCCTCAGGTTTTCAGATCTGAAATGTTCCCTTTTGGAAAAAAAATAAACAAACCTGCTGGAAATTTCCCTCTTAAAATTGCTTAACCCAGCTTCCCTGAACGAGGGCAGCGAGGCCGGTTCTATTGCCCCATTGATGCCCCGAAGCACAGCGATCGCCTTCCAATTAGGCCTCTGGAGACGAAGCCTTCGGGACATTTTAATAGATCGGGCCCTGGCCCTGTCCTCCGTGGAAAAAAGAGACAGATACAACCATTCTTTGAAACAACAATAGCTTTATTATTCCTTCGGCACACAGTACTCAAGAATACAATCTTAAATTCGCAAGAAAACCTCACAAACTTAAAGACCGAATTGTGTCCTAACCAGAAACACCAGAGCCTGGCTGAGGGCCTGGCTCAGGCAGGTCCTCCTGCCTGGGGCGTGGGGGCCACCACAGGTTGGAGGCGGACTGGCTTGTGTAACCACAGGCTCACTCGAGGTGCTGCAGAGACTAACCTCCGAGTTCTACAAGGCTTTTTAAAGATTTCCATTTTCCCCTCCAATCTCTGAAATGTTTTTTAAATTTCCTGGTGAGGTAGTAAGAAGGGGTGTGTATTTGTCATGACTTTGTGTTTTACTGTTCACAAGATAGAAACCTTTTTTAGAGTTTGTGTATTTTGTCTTTAGATAAGCCCCGTTTTGTTGGAATACGATGGTCTTTAATAGATCATAACATGTTACTAAAGTCTTCACATTTATTTGTTTAATACGAATAAATTTAATTTAAAAATATTCAGACTCATCTCAAATCTTCATGAAGCATGAAGACGATAGGGTTTGGAAACACAATCACGATACACTAACAGGAATGCGCCCAGGTAGACTCAGGTACCCTGTCCCACCGGCTGTCACACCGCTGAAACCAGAGGCTGCAGCCACATTCACCCTTATACACAGCCCCACATTGGTAACGGCATCCTACAAGATCAAGCATCTCAACAATTAGGCACTTGACTTTTGTCATCAGTTACATTGTCTACCACGTAATGTAACGGTCCTTAGTGGTTAAGAATCTAGAAAAACCTTAAGGTACAAAGTATTCTCTACACACGCTCTTTATCCATCTATATTATATGTTATAAATACCTACGTTTACTGAGGTGTCAGGTACTTGTTTCTATCCTCTTACAATCACATTGCACTGAAGATTGAGTTACATACAAATTCTAGTCTCTAATGAGTGCTGTTGATTTGTTCTCCTATTCTGTGGACAGCTGTTTATGCTGATTCTCACTGTAATGAGATGTTCTCTACATAGAAGCCTACAGTTCAGCACACACATCTGTACTCGCTCTGCTCTAAGTACCTTCTGGCTATTCTCTGGGCCTCGTCCTTTCTCACCTGCGGACTTAGTCTAGTCAGTGCACCTGGGTGTGAGGGCTTCCCGTCCACCCCACGCAGTGAAGCACCTGAGCTCGGAGACAGCCCTGCTCTTAGCTACCAAGGGCTCTTCCACCCCCACCTGAGCGTAGAGCTCGGGCGCCTAGGGTTAGGGTTGCGCAGAGTCTGAATCTAGACGAATGGACGGGTGCTATGACTTGTCATTCTTTCCCAGGTGGAAATGAGAAACTGGTAGACAGGCCCATAAATTATGCTGTCAGTCACCTGATGGTGGTTTTCCTTTCGCAGGAGGAGTTACTGAGTGCTGCAGAGGATGGGTTTCCTTCTCTTTTTCTGGTTCAGGAGGAGGGGCGGGAGGTGGCAGAGGTGGAGACTCAGCCAGAGAAACTTCTTCTTTTTTCTCAGCTTCGTTTTCTTCTAATTTCTTTTTGACTTCAAAAGGACGACAAGAACGGACTTTTATTAGGGACGCCAGACACCTAGTATTTCACTTGAACTACGATAAATCACCTAAATTAATATAAATTGCCCTCACCGACTTAAGGCTACGTTCATGTTTTAGGCTCTCCCTTGCGTCTGATGGTATTGGTGGTGAGGATGGAGATGAGGACTGTGTGTGTGTGTGGGGGGGGGGCTTGTTGAGGGGTGCCCAATGTAAAAGCAACAATCTAAAAGTAGCAGTGTAGTGGAATAGGAGAAAAAGAATTAGTTTAAGTTCCCAATGGACAAACAAGGTACAAAAGGTGTCCCGAGAAGGCGAAGAGCAATGGGCTAGCAGAGGTGGGGGTGGGGCGGGCCTGGAAGGGGAACGGTGCGCAGCACCAGTGTCTATGAAGAAAGAGATATAAAGCACCTGGAACAGCACACGGTACTCAATTAAGTTTTAGCAATTCCTTCATTTATGTAACGACTCCTTGCCGAACCAGAACGGTGCCTTGACAGAGAGGAAGGGCCGTCACAGTAAGGTAGCGCCACCACTGCCCACCAGCACTACTGTCGCTACTCCCGCTAGGACAGCCTCTGCAGCCGGCTCCAGGCACAGCTCCGCCACCATGCCCACCAGCACTACTGTCCCTACTCCCGCTAGGACGGCCTCTGCAGGTGGCACCAGGCACAGCTCCGCCACCACTGCCCACCAGCACTACTGTCGCTACTCCTGCTAGGACGGCCTCTGCAGCCGGCTCCAGGCACAGCTCCGCCACCACTGCCCACCAGCACTACTGTCCCTACTCCCGCTAGGACGGCCTCTGCAGCCGGCTCCAGGCACAGCTCCGCCACCACTGCCCACCAGCACTACTGTCGCTACTCCTGCTAGGACGGCCTCTGCAGCCGGCTCCAGGCACAGCTCCGCCACCATGCCCACCAGCACTACTGTCCCTACTCCCGCTAGGACGGCCTCTGCAGCTGGCACCAGGCACAGCTCCGCCACCACTGCCCACCAGCACTACTGTCGCTACTCCCGCTAGGACGGCCTCTGCAGCCGGCTCCAGGCACAGCTCCGCCACCATGCCCACCAGCACTACTGTCCCTACTCCCGCTAGGACGGCCTCTGCAGCCGGCTCCAGGCACAGCTCCGCCACCACTGCCCACCAGCACTACTGTCGCTACTCCCGCTAGGACGGCCTCTGCAGCCGGCTCCAGGCACAGCTCCGCCACCATGCCCACCAGCACTACTGTCCCTACTCCCGCTAGGACGGCCTCTGCAGCTGGCACCAGGCACAGCTCCGCCACCACTGCCCACCAGCACTACTGTCGCTACTCCTGCTAGGACGGCCTCTGCAGCCCGCACCAGGCACAGCTCCGCCACCACTGCCCACCAGCACTACTGTCACTACTCCCGCTAGGACGGCCTCTGCAGCTGGCACCAGGCACAGCTCCGCCACCACTGCCCACCAGCACTACTGTCGCTACTCCTGCTAGGACGGCCTCTGCAGCCCGCACCAGGCACAGCTCCGCCACCGCTGCCCACCAGCACTACTGTCCCTACTCCCGCTAGGACGGCCTCTGCAGCCCGCACCAGGCACAGCTCCGCCACCGCTGCCCACCAGCACTACTGTCCCTACTCCCGCTAGGACGGCCTCTGCAGCTGGCACCAGGCACAGCTCCGCCACCACTGCCTACCAGCACTACTGTCACTACTCCCGCTAGGACGGCCTCTGCAGCCCGCACCAGGCACAGCTCCGCCACCGCTGCCCACCAGCACTACTGTCCCTACTCCCGCTAGGACGGCCTCTGCAGCTGGCACCAGGCACAGCTCCGCCACCACTGCCTACCAGCACTACTGTCCCTACTCCCGCTAGGACGGCCTCTGCAGCTGGCACCAGGCACAGCTCCGCCACCGCTGCCCACCAGCACTACTGTCCCTACTCCCGCTAGGACGGCCTCTGCAGCTGGCACCAGGCACAGCTCCGCCACCGCTGCCCACCAGCACTACTGTCGCTACTCCCACTAGGACGGCCTCTGCAGCTGGCACCAGGCACAGCTCCGCCACCGCTGCCCACCAGCACTACTGTCCCTACTCCCGCTAGGACGGCCTCTGCAGCCCGCACCAGGCACAGCTCCGGCTGCGGGAGACACGGTAAAATGGGAGAAACCCCCGCCTGGTGGCACTTGCGTTCCCGTGGTGAGAGGACTCAGTGATGCGTGCAAGGCTGGCAGGGGACAGGTGCTGAGGAGAAGATCAACAGAACAGCGGACGGGGGTCAGGCGGGCTGCGGGCTGGCTGGCGAAGATCACAGAGGGCTGAGGAGCGAGGCCCGCTGAGAAGGGGCATTTGAGCACAGCCTGGGAAAGAATCAAGGAGCAAGGCCCGTGGGTGTGTGAGGGAAGTGTTCCCACAGGGGACAGGCAGTCCAGGGCCTTGAGTGCCGGAGCCGGCTGGTCTGTGTTACCAGGTCCCTGCCATTGTTACGGCCCTTTGGCTCTCATGGTTCACGTTCACCCTCTAGCACACTGTCCCTGCTCTCCTGGACCTTCCAGCCCGCCACGCTGGAAACGGCCACGGCTTCACCGACCGAACCCTTGGCGGGGGATCCCCAACCTTGCAGGGCGTTTCTTCGTCTGCACCTCCCTTTGCCCTTAGGTGCTTGTCTGCAATTCGGCAAAAGGAGGCTTCATTCTAGTGGATGTTCTTTCAAAGTGCAAATTAACTTTTTTTTCTGATTATAAAGTAATACATAGTTATTGTTTTTAAAAAATCAGACAATTGAGACACTTAAGTAGACAGGGAAGTAGCCTGCTCAGCTCTTGTCCTTCTCCTTCCCTGACGGTCGTACTGTACCTGCTGCTGGGCTCTTTCCTGTGTATATTTAATACATACACGTCCTTTTACAAATAAAAGTGAGACTATTTTATATATAACCTGCCTTTTCCCACTTAACAGTATATGATGGTCATTTTTACCCCCACACCAGAATATATATAAGCACCATGGCCATTCATTTTGTAACAGAGTATTAAGTAAATTTTTAGTATGTTAATGATAACATATTTGTTAAATTAATGAACGAATTGGACTGCAGTTCTCAAATACGTGGCAGCTCAGTCTGTGCATAGAATCAGTGACCAGAACGTAAAATCCCTGGGAGTCTCCTGTAGGTCACCTGCAGATGTTTGAGGCTACAGCTCAGAATGAGTTTGGTTTTGCCCCCCAGCCAAGACCCCGGGATTACTGTGGGAGGTGGGCTCCCCTCTCAGCCTAACTTCTCACTGTCACATAACATGCTAAACCACTTAAATAATATAGGGATTGGTTTTTATTTTGTCTGAAAGCTTCCCATGGGTGTTTCAGGAAAGCAGACAGTTGGATGTAGGAGCTTGTCTTTCTAAGTGTGAGGTCCTGGCCCCACGGTGTCTGTGCTGGTTACCTGCGTGGTATTTTGGTTAACTGACACGTTATGGTAGGCAGGTCACAAATCTAGTAGCCGGAGACAGCTTGAGGTTTTACAATTCTTATGATACTACCTTTGATGATTTTTTATTATATCAAGAAACTGCAGTTACCAATATAATTAAGGGCACTTGATAAAAGGGAAGCACTTCTGAAATCATTTATCCAGGGAAAAGTTACAATGAAGTCCAGAACTGGAGTGGACGAGTTTCACAGACCTTTCAATGATCAATTTCAATAATACAACAAAAACTTGATGGGCAGTTATTATGGGTTAGATAAAGGACAAAGGAGGTCAGGGTGGTTTGATTTGGGTAATATATGTCCCAGATGCAGGCATATAAATAAGCAGATAATAATCTGTAAATTCATGCCAACACAGGAAGATTGAGGAAAAGAACTGCCTAGTGTTTCCATCCCAGAAGGAGAACCCACTCAGTGTTTTCTCACAAGGCTGAGGTTAACAGGTTGAACTCTTTACTCTTGTCTATAACATCCTTAATCTTAACTCTGCTATCTTTTAAAATATGAAAACAATGTTTTCAGCTGGATGAACTCTTTTGATTAGATTAGATTAAAACAAAGAGAAAAATATTTTACTTAAAAACATCTGCAGCAGCAAACTAAAATCAGAGGTAGAAGACATTGGCAGACAGTGTAATCGAAACAGAAGAGAGGGATTTGCAATTACACTTTCATTCCCTCTTAAATTCATTAAAACCATACATTTTTTGTTACATAAGCTCAAAATAAGAAGAAATACAGTTACCTTTGTTCTCCTTTTTTACCATTTCATTAATAAGCACTTCTTTTACTTTTTGGCATAAAGACTCTTTATCTATTTCAGCACTGATTTTTATCAAAATATTTTCTGGTTCTGTAAACCACTGCTCCAATGAATTCCAGTTGTCCAAGAAACCTATAATTCTGCAAAATCAAAATGTTATCTAAATATCTCATACTGATTGAAATATTTGAGTAACATTGAGCATGATTTGTCTGACATTCACAATGAAATATAAACTGCAATATAGCTGGATCCGAAAGACCAACTTGAAGAACTCCAGAAGCAACGGGAGAATATTCACTTTAAAGAAGACGTTATTTAATGCCATCAAGCCATATTTTTGAGGTTCATGGAAGAGTAAAAGAGGACATCGAAGGCAACATCACCTCTCTACTCGTGGAAGAACTGAACACTCTCCTGATGGTGGCAGTAGCCCGGGCCACCTGCCATCTATTCATCGACTCTTTTCTTAGGGAAACTGAAGAGATCTTTGAGTAAGTGTAGGTGGTCAGACTTATTTGCTTTACTAAAAATATGATCTTTCAATGATTCTCGAAACTTGTGTGTCTTCCCTGAGGGACAACAGGCTTAATGCTGCTCAGATTACTTGTCCCTGGCTCACTGTATATTTTTAGACTCCTCAAGGTTTCATAAAACTGTCTACATTTTCTTTTCCAATGAACAAATTACACACAACCAAAAGAACAGTTTCTTTTTTTAAGCTTAACTTCATTTTAGCAAAACAGAAGTCGTTTTAGAACTACAACCTGCAGCCTGCTGCTTAGCTCTTTGACATTCCACGATCTTGTTTGGCATTTGCTGAATAGGGGCTGAACTAGGCTTCCATTCCATGAACTTGGCAGTTCCCGTAACCGCAGAGGGAGGCGCTGCCTGATCCAACCCTTCCCCCCAGATTATGACCAGTGCTAAGGCCCTGAGAGCAAGCACATAAACACTTCACTCAACACCAAAGCCACTTAGTCCTGCTTTACCTGTGAAAGACTGAATGCTAGGAAATACAGCCTTTTCCTAGATCTGATTATCGTCAGTCTGTTCAAAGGACAAGACGCAAGGACACTGAATTTTATACTGACCTGTGCTGTATTTGGTCTCTTAAATTCTGGTCACCATCTGTATCTTCTCTTCTGGCAGCTACCCGTTGGTTGATATCTTCGTGAGAGCTTTCAGTTGAAAATGCTGCAGCTATGACATGAAAAGTTCTTAATTAGATCATTTGCCAAACCAGTTACAGTTGGATTGATGCAAGCAAGTCAGATAGATATGGTCCTGCCTTTGGTCCAAAATTATTTAAATGTTTAATAATATGTTGAAAGAGTGTAGTTTTAGAATCAGAATTTAAATTTTCCTTAGAAATTGGAGAAAATGTAAAATACAGCAATAAAGAGGAGTTGTGGTTTCAGTGGAGAGCGTCTCCAAATTAACGATGGGCACTTGGGCTGCTTCCAAATCTTGGCAATTGTAAATAACACAGCAATGAACATAGGGGTGTATTTATTTTTCTTTTGAATTATTTGGTTTCTTTGGATAAATCTCCAGAAGTGGAATCACTGGGTTGTAAGGCAGGTCTATTTTTAATCTTTAAAGGAAACTATACTGTTTTCCATAGTGGTTGCACCACTCTGTATTCCCATTAACAGTGCACCAAGATTCCCTTTTCTCTATATCCTCGTCAACACTTGTCATTTGTGGGTTTATTGATGCTAGTCATCCTGACAGGTGTGAGGTGATACCTTGTTGTGTTTCTAATTTACATTTCTCTGACACTTAGTGACACTGAGCATCTTTTCTTGTATCTATTGGCCATCTATATGTCCTCTTTGGAGAAGTGTCTATTTAGGCCCTCTGCCTATTTTTTAAATTGAATTGTTTGTTGTTTTGGTATTAAGTAGCATGAGGCGTTTTTTTTTTAAATAAATTTTGAATATTAATCCCTTATCAGATGTATCATTGGTGAATATGATTTCCCATTTAGTAGGTTGGGAGCATTTCTTGTTATTTAAAATAAGTCCCATTCAACTTTACCTGAGTTTATGCTAATGAAGTGACTCTTGGATGTTGGGATCTAGTTGCCAGGGTAACAAACCAGATGATCAGAGGACTAGAATTTTCAGTCCACCCCCTGGTCTCTAGGGAGCAGAAGAGGGGCTAATTACCAGTGCCCTGTGATTTAATCAACCACTCCTACATGATGGAGCCTCCATAAAAACTCTGAAGGGGCCTCAAGAGCTTCTGGGCTGGTGAATGCACCCACATGCTAGGAGAAGGGTGCACTCCAAGCTCCACAGGGACTATTCTAGACCTTGCCCAGTGACCTCTTCATCTGGCCGTTCATCTGCCTTCTTTATAATATGTATTATAATGAACCAGTAATGGTAAGTAAAGTGTTTCCCTGAGTCCTGTGAGCCATTATAACAATTTATCAAACCTGTGGAGGGGGGGTCCTGGGGACCCTCACATTTGTAGTCAAGTCAGACAGAAGTGTTGGTAAGCTCAGGATCCACTACCTGAGATTGACATCTGTAACTGGGGACAATTTTGGGTGACTGAGGCGGCACTAACCACAGATCGGTAGTGCCAGAAAAGAACTAAATTTTAGGATACCTAGTATCCTAAAGAAATTTCAATTGTAAACAAGATCATGAAAAAAAATATATAGAAGAACAAGAAAGAGGTATCCAACTTACCCATGATGTCATTCATGCGACCCAGTGAGGAATTATTTGAAATATCTAGTAACAGGACAAAATCAAATGTGGCAGGGGGAGGGGGCACTTCTTTGGCAGTTGTAGGGTCAACGGCCAAGGTGAATTTCTGTGCTTTCTCTCTCTCCAGTTCCGCAAGGTTTCTGCTGCGGCCTGTGAGTGCTTCCTCCAGAAGCCATGCTTGGTTTAATGTCATTGGAAAACCATCCAGAACCCAGCCTTGGTCCACAGGTATCTGACTGAATTGAAAATGGACAAACTGTGAACATTTCAGTAGACACAGTACTTTGGCCACAATGAATCTTGCCTTTATCTTTCTTTCAATTCCACAATAATCTTCTCCTGTATGAATTTTAATTCTTTATAGCGAAATGTAGGTAAACTAATCATTCAGTTGCTTACAATGCTTTTGTGGGTCCCTGCTGCCCTCCAGATCTAGGCCAGTGGCCATGAGATAGTATTTAAAACTAACTGGACACAGCTTACTTACCTGTTATGTCTTCTCTTTCACAATTTTGAACCATTTTCTTCAAACCGATCTCCTCACTGCTATGTGAATATGAATTGGTATTTGTATTTTCTAGCTTGTGTTCATGGGCAGTTTCTGCTTTGAACTTATTTCTTCATCTATTCATAGTGGGATAATACCTCACACGGTGGTTGAGAATAAACTGAAGTGATACGTTTTAAGATCCCAGCACAGAGGTTAGCACTTGGTGGATACTCAGAATACCAACCTGGGAAGTTCTTCCTACCCGGCCCAAGCCAGCATAGAGTCATCACCGCCTGACCTGAACCCCTCTGGCTCTCATTCACGTCACCACACAACTGGTAATGGCTTTAGTCTGACTTTGAAGAATTCAAGTGAGTCTTATTTATCTCAATTAAATGATAAGTTGGGCAAGGACCCTTAGTGCAGCATACTCTAATGAGAATGGGTGCTCTAAGGGTGATTTTAGTTCTTGAAATTGGAAAACCATGTGAAAAGGGCATACACTTCGACTTTGCTCTTCTAAACCTCTACATTATGCAAAACAGATTTGGGTGTTTGATTTAGAAGTTACAATCTTGTTTCTCTCTCCGTTGGAATGACGAAGAGCAGGAAAAGACCACACTTTTGCCTTCATAACTTGTCCAGGGCTTGGTCAAGCGCTGCACAGAATGGGCTTGTTGACTCATTGGCCTAAGACGGAGAAGTTTCCTGAGCCCCTCAGCAGGTCCAGGTGACCTCTCCTCCACCACGGTCTCAGGAGCTACTTCAGAGGCTGGACGAGGTCAGGGCCACACTTGTTCAGCTGCGGTGTGAGGACACCAGGTGACATGGCGGGAGAAGACCTGGGCTTTGGCTCTGGCTACTCTTCTAACCAGACACGTGACTGGACTGCCTCACCGAACTGCCCCGTGCCTTCCCCTCCTCACTGAAAGAGGATGGACTTGGACTAGACGAAGGAATTTCAAGGTGACCGAAGGCCTCTGAGGGTGCTTCGGGGGCAGTGGAGATGGTCGTGGGAGGGTAGTGAAGAGGGTGGTGTGCAAGACACTCCAAGTCCACGGACGCCAAAGCTGAGATCTGCTTTGTAGCTGGTTTTTTTCATATATAGTTTCTTTGAACAAGGAGTCCCACAGGGAGAGCATGTTTGAGCAGGTCTGAGAAACACTATGGCTAGTTGAACGAGATCACTGCCAGCCCTGAGGGGGAGCATCCCTGTGACCCGATGTCTTCAGCACTGCATTCAAGGAGCACTTGTTTCCAGGCACATCACAAGGGAGAGGCAACTGATGCCTTAATGAGGTCCCAGGAAGACACTGAAAGGGGAGCCCCTTCTGCATGCAGAGCAACTTCCTTAAAACCTCCCCTCGCCTCTCTGGGTCTCACCGTTTCCAACACGGCTCAGCTACCCCAGTCCGACCTCCTCACCCACCTCAGCTCTCCAACCTCCTGCACAGCCTGCTTATTCCTTGTCATCCTGCTAAGCCTCACCGCTGTATTACATGGATCAGCTGAGAGTCCATGGCTTCTTTTAATTAGTCCTTTTTCTGTATTACAAAGGAGGGCTGAGGAGAACCCTTCATCCTTACAAAGGAGGAAGATCACAGAACTGTAGCCATTTAGACTTTTCTTCATCCCCATCACGTGCCACCCCTGTGCTATGCACACGATTTCTTCTTGCCTGTACAGCTCTCCTTTCTCACTGCCTGTCCACCCATCACTGCCCAACCTTTGCATCCCTGGGTTCACCCCTCCTCTTGAAACACAAAACCAGGAAGCACATTGGCCCGTGAGCCCAGCGAGGGTCTCTCCCCGCCATCATCTGTCTCTTGGCTTTCCAAGTGGTACCTGATTTCTCCTTGAAGTTCTCACGCAGAATAGAGACCCAAATTCGCATCTGGGTGAATGAAATCACGGTTGGTAAAGGGGGAAGTGAAATACAAGCATGTAAATCACAAAATATATCTGGATCTTGCTGTATGTATTTTTATGTAGACAAGCAATATTCATTATATGTTAAAAATAAAAATGTTTCTATATTATTTTTATATATCTCTTTATGAGAGAGAATATTTAAATACATACAAAGAAATAATACGTACTTAATAGCATTTACCATGATGCTAACTAGCAATATGTCAGGGACACTCTTTCCTTTCTTCAGCAATTTTTCTGATTTTGCACCAAGTTGAGCACGGACAGTGAGCTGTGAAAATAAACAATGAATGGTAGACTACAGCTAATTTAAAAGAAAGATTCCAAATATTTAGAGAAAACACCATTAAACAATCATGTTCTCTGGTGAAGACACCAATCAACCGTGACAATTCTGGAGTCAGCCACGCATTTAAGAAACGTGTGCAGATTTTGAGGCTCCTCCTCTGCGGCTCCCTCCCTTCTGAGATGTTCGCCTTTCCTTCTCAGCTTCCCAACCTTCATCCCCCAATACTTGGAATCGGAAAGAATGAGGCTCTCTGCTTGGGTTCTAGCAACTCGAGGCACGCAGCCGGGCATGCCCCTGGGAGACCCTGCGGAAGCTCGGCTTCATCTAGTGACTCTCCACTCGGCGGCCCGTTCCACACTGTGCTGCCTGGCGTTTGCTGCTTTGCTCTGTCCATCTGCTGGTGACCCTCAAATAAGAAGCTTTCCTATTTTTCCCAGCCTTAAAATGCTATCTGTAGGAGGGCTAGTCCAACAAAGCTACTGCTATGTCAACAGGAACTTTCCTCATGCCTATTCTTGTCTCAGCCACCAGAATGAGCATTTTCTAAGTTCCGTGAAATTGCATCTCTACTCAAACCCCCAAAAGACTCCCCCAGTCATTGCCAGGAGGCCTGGCTGACCTGACTCTCCTCCTGTCCGAGCCGTGCGGCTGTCATCCAGCTGTTCCTGCGGCCTGGGTGCCTCCCCTGATCCAGGCTGACTCGACCTCCTTTCAATCTGCGAAAGTCTCCCTGCCTCGAGGAGGCCCGTCCCACGTGAGACAGCAGCTGACCCTTTCTCCCCCGGTCTGTGTCCCTGACCCCCTCAGTCTACTCTACGCCAGTTCTTCTTTTCTCTTGGCTTCATCACCGGCTACTAAATCATATAATGTAATTATTTATGTTTCTGTGGTTTATTTCGATCTTCCTCTATTAAAATGTAAACTCCATAAGGTCCAGGAACTCTCTCATTTTTTTGTTCAGCGATATATCCCAAAGCATTACAGCAGTGTATGAAACAAAGAATGCTCTTTGAACTGAATATGGAATTTGGGGGACCTGTAACTCCATAAATGTAAATATAAAAAATACAATTTGCCTTCCTGATAATTTATATTTCAAATACATAGAGTAAAAATTATAAGGTCTCCATTATCAATTTCTCTAAGCCCTATTTGGTTATCATGGTTACAATTTGTTATATAGTCTTCCAAAACTTTTTCTCTCTCAATAATTTTTGAAATAAAAATTATAACATTGTTTTCCATTATGAAATGCATAATGAAAGTAATCAAATGTAATAAAAATAAAGTAAATGAGATTCCACTTGATTAATCTGGTCATTCTCTTTGAGGACAAAAAATATTTCCATGCACAGTAAAGCAATACTATATGTGGAAATACTAGTTTCCATTAAAACAATAGTGAGTAGATTGTTGTAAACATTTTTTCAGAGATTAATAAAATATTTTGTTGAGTCACCAATAAAGCTAAGGATTAATTCTGGGAAAATTCCTTAAAGGTAAAGAAAGACTGAAAGAAAATAAAAATCAAAAATTAAGTAGTAAAGAAAAACATAAATATAAATTTGGCATTAGTCTAAAAAAATGGTGTTTACTTTATCACTTGGCAAAACGGATTATTAATTTCCACTGCTTTAGAGATAAAGAATATAAGGAATATCAAGTAAACTCAGATTGAGCTAATATTTGTCATGAGATTAACTTCAAACCAAAGAGCAGCACACTGCTGTTCCATCCCACTTGAAGACACACCCAAGAGCAAGGAATCGTGACACATTGCACGATGCTAGTAGCCAACGTTAGATTATAGCACTTACTTTAGAGAAACTATCACTTGGTTTGACTTCGTCAGCTTTTGGTGTTTTATTGGTATCAGTACCTAGCAACAGGAAAAGTGGTAAGAACAAACTCTAGTATTTACAGCTAACAACCATGGTAATATCTGTCTACGGTTGTGGAGAGTTGGGTCATTGGATCCAGCTATGCCCGATACTCAGAGGAAGGAAGTAATAGAATCACCACAGCGTGGCTGTCACCCTCATTCCATAACATTAAGATCCTGGTCACTGTGGGGCTTGGTGTTTTCCACCTCCTTCTCTAAGAATGGCTCACTCATAACAAAATCATTAGAAATACTTTAATACTGTTGGGGTTTTCTTTTCAGAAAACAAGCAAAGTTTCTCAGAAAATGTTAAAAGGTTAATTCTTCACATTTTTATTTCCCTGAATTATCTAGTTATAAGTAACAAGTCTAGAAGTAGAAAACTCTAGAAGCAAGAGGGGTTTTTTGGTTAAATTCTATTGAAAAATACAAAGTTTTCAGAGCCTGTTTATAATTACTGTACTTTTAAAATAAAACATGTTATTTAGTACTTAGATTAAAAATCAATGAAAATATCTGGAAGAAACAAGTAACTAAAATAAGGTACAGATGATCTCCTTTGAAAAGATGGAAAACTTGATTGCTCTAGGGGACTTCCATGCTCATAGGGAATTTATGCATTGTCTAATGGTGGTGGTGATAATGGTGGTGGAGGTAATGGTGATGGAGACCATGGTGATGGAGGTAATGATGATGGAGACCATGGTGGTGGAGGTAATGGTGATGGAGACCATGGTGATGGAGGTAATGATGATGGAGACTGTGGTGATGGAGGTAATGGTGATAATGGTGACAGAGACAATGGTGATGATACAGAATAATCTGAATTTTATAAATATGAAGTAACTACTGAATATGGCAGAGCCTTTGCTAGCACAAATAGTATACTTAAGACTTAAATTTTTTTTCTATCAATGGTTCTACAAAGGATCTGAAGGACTGAAACCCAGATCACCAGGGAGGTAACTTTTCATTAGGTTTGGGAAGCTTGGTTCTTTGTGCCTTGCCCAAGGTTAGGAATAAACTGAGCACTATCCAAGCACTCTTCAGGGGGGTTGAAGAGACCAGACCCCGCAGCCGCCCTCAACACCATGAATAAAGCAGTCGCAAGCAGAGAGAGCCCAGTAGTACTCACTCACCCAGACCTGCATATGTGAAAAAAAACCAATGAAATCCTGTCTTCCTGCAAAGCCAGGAAGGAGGATAATGTATCCTGGTGGTCTTTACAATCACAACAAAAATGAGCAAGTATTTGAGTGTGAAAAGATTCCTTGTCATTTTTGTCTCTTATCCCCACTGTAGACAAAAGTTAGGGACTTCTGCGCTTATCTTGCTGTGTCTGTCAAATGGCCATGTAGACGATGATGCGGGACTCCCGGCTCCCATTTCTTTCCCTGAAGCACGTTTGTGCTCACTTACATGTGCTCTTAATGTCCGTCCCTCTAATGTAAATGATGGATGGTTTGTTTTGACGTCTTACTTACTAAGTATAGATTTATCTTCTGTTTCTGGTAATGCTTCCTCTGAAACTAGATCAGCTGAACTTTTATTTTGCAGACCCTTTGGGGAGAAAACACACACACACACACACACACACATTTTAATAGCATTCTTAATTTTATTTTTATAAGTAAGGTTTGGAAAAAAATAGACTTTTAAAATAAAAAACATAAATGATGTTGAGAGGAATTGAATAATATCCAGAAAGAAACAAAATATGATGATAATAGTACTAATGGAAATGCACAGTAACCTGTGGGTAGAATCTGTCTTTCAATTGGCTTTCACTTACTATGTAAAATACAGGAACAATCATTTTGAAAACTCAATGGAAGCCGAGAAAGAGGTCGAGTTTATGGAAAACCATCTTAGAAAGAATTGTCCTAGAAGTAACAGTGATAGCTAGAATAGGAAAATAAGGAAAAGATGAGCATTGTCTAGCACCCTAAAGGGTGGAATTTGAAGAGTACCACACGTGGAAGACAAAGCAGCCCACAGTGAAGAAGCTTCCAGTTACTTTCAGAATTCATGGCTAAATGATACTCATTTTGCAGCTCATGCAAATGATCTGGGTTAGATGCTCTGCCTATTTATTCCACTGCAGAGACAGCATACGGTAGGGAAAGTGCTGGATTTAGAACCTGGGATCCCAGTCACAGCCTAGACATGAACAAGCCTCTGACCCCAATAAAACCAAGTCATGCCTAGGGCTTCTACTGTCTCCTGTTAAAATGAGGGTGCTGGACCACATTGTTTCTCAAGGTGGGGCCACAATCTCCTATTTCCTGCACTAGAATCTTCATTCAGTAATGTAGCTAGATGCAGTACAGATGGGAAGGTGATGCTGGTAAGCAATGCAGAGACCTCCCTTCCACCCCCCCCCCCCACCTCCCCACATTGAGATCTATGAGTTTAGATCAGAGTTCTGCCAACTATGGCCCATGGACCAAATTGGGGGAGCCAATTGTTTTCATATAGTCCCTGGATGTATAAAACTCCATGAGACACTATGGTGAGTCTGGGGACTAAGCTGGGTGTCCCCCTCCACCCCTGTCCCTGCTCAGCCCCAGCACTGCCTTGGCCACTGCCCAGGGCTGGCCTTGGGCTCCAACCACATGATGGGGACTGTAGAATTTCACTTCGGGAGCTGGTGACTTGGTGAACACCCCCACACTACTTCATAGCTTCCTCCCCTCCACCCCTTTGAAGTTCAACCCCTCCACCCCTCCACCCCTTCATCAGTGGCTCTTTCCTGAGGTGAATGTCTCCAGCAGAAGGTGACTTGGCACAAAGCCAGCCCACCACCCTTCTTGGCCCACCCAGAGAAACTGGTGGGGGGGTGTTTCTCTCATGTTCGAGAAAATGGTGGGAGGGGGTTCTCTCATGTTCTATAAATACCCCACAATATCCTTGATTTTGTCTCATGGCCCACAAAACCTAAAGTATTTACTCTTGGGACCATTACAGAAAAGTTCGCAATCTCTGGTCTAGGAGACCTCTGATTGCATCTGGCTTCACCTCCTATTCTGGGCACAGAAAAAGGGGAGCATGGTCCCACTTGCCTGGCTCTCGTTACTGTGCGGGGCTGACGTGGCCTTGTCTTCGGCTTCAGGCTGAACTGGAAGGGCCTCACTGACTGTTTCTTTGTCCTTAAATGCTTGGATAGCTTCTTGGAGAAGGGTGTCGATAGAAAGTATCTGAATAGGAAAGTCTAAAGTATGAAAGGCAGTTTTACTGATAGCTTTTGTTTAGGAAACTGACATCGTTGTCCGTCTGCACTGGCTTCCCCTTCTCAGCCGTCTGTAGGGCCCCCAGAACTGTTTTCTGGGTCAAGCCGTCTTTTTCTTGTTGTGTTAAAATCCACAGAACATAAAGTTAACCATTTTATCCATTCTACAAGACAACGCTTCAGTGACATTTAGGCTATTCACAATGTTGTCTGGTCATCACCACTGGCTTGTTCCAGAAAATTTTCATCATCCCAAAAGAAGACCCTGAACCAATTAGGCAGTCCATTCCTATTACCCCATCCCTGTCCCTGGCAACAACTAATTTGTTTTTTGTCTCTATGAATTTGCCTATTCTGGATATTTCATATCAGTGGAATCATGTAATATGGGGCCTTTTGTGTCTCACTTGTATCATGTTTTCAAGGTCCACTCATGTTGTAACATGTATTAGCACTTCACTCTTTTTATGGATAAATAATATTCCATTGTTTGGATATACCATATCTTGTTATCCACTCACTAGGTGATGGACATTTGGATGAGGTCCAACTTTTGGCTATTTTTAACAGTGCTGCTATGAATATTCCTATACAAGGTTGTTTTTTCTTTTTTGAACACCTGTTTTCAATCCAGTTCTGTATATAACCAGTAGTGGAATTTCTGGGGTTGTATAGTAATTATTTGTTTAACTTACTAAGAAACCACCTTGCCATAATGGCTGTACCATTTTACATTCTCACCAGCAATGTATTCCAGTATCTCTACATCCTCCCCAACACATCATCTTACATTAAAAAAAAAAAAAATTACACCTATTCTAGTGGATGTGAGATGGTATCTTGTTGTGATTTTCGTCAACTTGCTTTTTAAGGAGGTCTTTTCAATATCTCAGTTATGATCTACCCTTCTCTGCCTTGGAATGGTACAAGATGGTCAGGCCTCAGTGCAAATTTTGAGCTTTTCCATGAAAACAGTAATGATATTGTAAATGAATGAATGAATGAATAAAAACTGACTGAAGAGATGGAAACCTGTGGTTTTACCTCTAACTGAAAGAGAGTCTACAGGAAAAACCAAAGGCTCATTAAAGACAGAGTGAAAACAAAGAATAAAAATATTTGCAATTTTAAGTGGACTTCTCTTTTTTGTGTAACAAATTAATAATATCCTACTTCATCTATTGGTAAAGTAAGTAAAATCTATAAGGAAAAGTTTGACTTGTTATTTCTCTTTATACCATGCATCACCATCATCCAGTATTTCCATATAACCAAGCGTACCTGGGACAGCCACAGTTTATGACTCTATATTCCTGTCTGCCTTGGAAGCACATTATTTGATCATTCTATTATAGAATTCTCGATGCCATATTTTGCTAATGTATTAGCAGACCCTCATGTGCAGACACAGCCCTGTTGCAGCTGCAGTCCATGTTAATAGAATCCCATAAATATAAACATAAAAGGAAAGAAAGTCTACCTTTTTGTAGAGACTTTAAGGCAGTAGTTTTTCCACTTAGTGTTTTCCCCAACAAGCAGCCTTTAATTGCAAATGAAGGTAATTCAGGTACTGATTTTTCAACTTGAAGGGGAAGAGATTTTTCAATTAGTCTGTGAATCACATGGCCCAATATGCAATTGTTGGAAGGTGGTAAATTATCAACCATTTCTTCTGGTAGGGCCCACTGTCCAACCATGTTCTGCAAAAATAACAATGATACAAACAAAACATAATATTCTTAAAAGTGGAATTTAGGTATATAAGAAAATTAAATATTGAAAGTAAATCCAACTATAGCAAACAAAAGCTAATCAATAAATAATTATATTACATAAATGAGTAATAACATGAATACTTTCATATTAGAAAACAAAAAAATGAACTCCCCACATAAAAGAAAAACAAACAAAAATAAATAAATCCAACTCTAAAATCCCTAACAGTTGATAAAAGTAGGCATATTGAGTTAACTGAGACTAACTGTAATCCAGATTGAGCATTAAATTACTTAAGCTGATTCTATCATTAGTAAACAGATAAAAGATGGTAATAGTTTATCTGCTATTTCATGCCCAATTTGGTGTTTATGTTTAACTCCTGTCTATGTTTAACTCCCAATTTTTTCCAGGTTTCTTGCTGCAATGATCAAACAATTAGAGGAAAAGGAAAAAAGCAAAGCAAACAAACAAACAAAAAACTACAGACCACATTCTCTGAGCTCTGTGTAATAAAACTAGAAATTGATTTTTGACAGATATGAAAAATATAAATACTTAAAAATTAAAAGCATTCTTTTTGAATAATTATTGATGTAAAGAAGTTAAAAGTATAAATGTCTGAAAAGAACATTAATAGATTTATAAAAAATATAGAATGGGATCAAACTGTACTTAGAGGAAAATTCATAGTTTGGATGAAGAGGGGGGTGTCAATGGGGGATAAAGGAGAAACATCTGTAACAAAAACAAATTAATAAAAATAATTTTAAAAAAATTCATAGTTGCTTAGCATAAAATGCTTTGACTTAACATTTAAAAGGAAGGGAAATAAATTAACTAAGCATTAAAATAGGAAAAAAATAATTTAAAAATAAATAAAAGAAATAAGGAGGGACTCATAAAAATAGAAATTGATAAATCAGAGAGCAAACTATTGCGACACCTTTTAAAAATTGATACATTTCTATAACTTGTCCATGTTAATCCTGATAATGAAATTGCTACTAGTTCTGAACAAGGGTAAAGAATAGCAAGTATCAATTTTATAACCTATTAGGAATAAAGTAACAGATTTTAAGGAAACTTAAAATATTTAAGAAAATGTTATGTACAACTCTACTATAATAAATTTAAATGTATTACTATATGGTAAAAATGTTATTTTAGAAAAGTACAAATGATTAAAACTAATTTTAAGTGGAAAATTTGGAAAGATGAAAGCCATGAAAAAAATGAAAAAGTTGTTACAGAACTCTATCCAGGGAAACTTGAAGACCATGATAGTTTACAGAAAAAATTTCATTCCTTAATTAAACAGAAATATAACTGTTGTTCAGTCTCCTGGAACATGGAAGAAAATAGAAAACTTTCCAGTCACCTGGCAAAACTAACATAACCCTGATACCAAAAAGCTATAAAAATTAATTGACAAAAATAGCCTCCAAAAAGACTACAAGCCAGCCTCACTTGGAAATATCTTGCAAGAATCAGGCCTACATTATTAGCAGAATCAGCATTCTACTAACGGAAATAACGATACTGATTGACATTTTCTACATGCTATGTGCCATACGCTGCTGTTTTCATGAATATCTCACATGATTCTCACACAACTCTTACAGAAGTATTGTTATTTTTCCAATTTGCAGAAGAAACACGTGGGTATGATAGAAGCTATATTTCTTGTCTGTGTTCACAACAAATAGAAATGGCAGAGCCTAGACTGGAACCCAGGCAGGCGGTTTCTAGAACATGTGCTCATTACCTCTATACTATATTGAAGTTGTTTAACCATGATTAAATCAGAGTTGCTTCATGAATACAGGGAAGGACAAATATTAGAAAACCTATTGCTGTATCACTTTAATAGGCTACATTTTTTAAAAGTGTATGATCATTTTGACAAGAAGCATCTGATAATTCAAAATTCATTTCTGACGAGAAAAATATATGTAAAACTAAAACAAGAAAATCCCTTAATATGCAATGAATTAAAGCTGGCTTCCCTATTACTCTCGGGACCAATATGTAGTGGTGAACAAAAATGAATGTTTTAATTTACGGCCTTTGGTTTTTCTAAAAATTCTGTGCATGATAATTATATGCATTATTCAAAATTAACAAAGTCTGAAAAGATCTGTGTAATTATTGATTGCATTAGTATTACTTGTTTCTGCTTTCATTCATTAGAATCATTTATACTACTAATTAGACAAGTGACAATTATTGTATGTAATGTGACCAATCAGAAACTAACCAAATAAAACAACAGGAACCAGAGAAATTTGTTATTATAAAAATAAAGTAGGCCATAAGGCCAAGGCCAAATTTAAATGGCAAGTCTCCAATGCCAATGATCTTGTGCTGTGCAGTGATTTGATCCATTCTAAATGACACAGTCTAGGATTTAAATCAGATGACTTGTGTTCTGCTTCTCGCATTGTAGTCTGGTTAATTCCTTCATCTCTGCATGTCAGCAATCTATCTCTTGGGGTTGTAAAGATTAACTACAGTGCTTGTCGATGGAGCCCATGTGACCACTGACTTTAAATGCTTAATTACGAAACTCTTAGGCTGCTGCCGGGGGCACACAGTAGTGCCTCTCAGGAGGGTGACAGCATCCACAGTTCTGCCCAGCGAGAGAACCACATTCAGCTTTCACAACCAGAAAAGCAGGCTTCCTCACAGACAGACAGCATGAGGCCCCCTTCCATCACTGCATTTGTTGTAGAATGTGGCTGAACACAATCGGACAGAATGCTGACCATGAAGACAACCGAATGCCTAGGTTAGGGAAGGAAAGGGGGCCTGTGGAGATGAGCAGACGAAGGGTTTGGTGGGGCGCATTTTTCAGAACCACCTTACAAATACAGTTGAAGACCAAGAATAAAGTGTAAGTCAAGGTAAACATCTCAGGTTGGAAAAGAACGTGATGAATGTAAGGAGGTCAGAAGAACTGGAAAAGGAGGTAAATTCAGATCAGAATGAAGATTACTAGTTTAACTACAATGAGCTAAAGAGATCTTCTAGTTCATTAGTGAAGAAGAACCAGAACTTTTTTTTTTCCAGATCCCTACTTTACATAATTATATAATAAAATTATACTAAGAAAAACTATAAAAAATATGTAATTCTTACGCCTTCAGATACTGTTATAAATAGACATCTAACTATTAGTTTCAGGACTCTGGTGCCTGGAGTGGGCAACACCAGGTAAAAATCACCTTGTATAAATGATTGCTTTAGTAAGACTGTGTGTGTAGATGTTCTCCTTGGTATCAGCACTAATGTCAACTGACATGCCTCTATAAAATAATAGTTAAGATCTCTTTATTTTTATTATGCCTTATAAATACAATCATTATGTATCTTTGGGAAGGTGTAAGTGCAAGACTCAAGATCTACGAACACCTCTTATCTACCTACACACAGAGATTATGAAATTACAACAGAGTAAACAGCCTCCGCCCTTGGTTAAAAGCTCTTTATTGGTACTATTTTTATTAATTGACCTACATTGACCTTCCCAGAAACTGAATTCTGAGTTTCTGGGGCCATGATGTCCCTCAATTCTTCCTGTTTTCACAGGTTACAGGGAACTAACAATCTGTTTTCCAGCCTGGATCCAATCTGTTCACATGGTTCTCTAGGTCATGTTGTAGGTATCTTTATAGACTTCTGATTCTGGTTACTTCCAGTCTGTCAATTTCATTTGTTTCCTATGACCTGATAAGTTATTATCCTTGGATCCTGGGTCCCCTTGTTATTAATCATAGATAAAAGTGTCATGAGCATGTACAGATAGCACCTGCTTCAGGTCAATGTGTTTGAATGTGCACGCCTCGAGGGCACACGACGAGCTTCCATGTGATCCGTTCACTAGATCCCCTCCTTGTATGCAACATTGCCCACGTGGTGGGATGATGATGCGGTGGAGCTGCATGGTTTCCTCAACATGTTCTGTTTACTTCTCTAAACATGATTACCCCTGGAGCAAAGCAAATGTACCTCGTTCTCAATTCTTGTCCCTTCTAAAGATCCAGGTTGGGAAGAGAGCTTCCTCATCTATTCTTTTAAAGAGAGGGGAGACCTAGTTCACTTTGATGAACCTGTGTTAACTGAATCTGGGCCTTGGGAAACATTCAACAGTCAGGTGAATTCCACTAGCACAACAGTCAACAAACATACATTGGGTTATGCCAATGATGTTTAGTAGTGACATTTGAATGTGGCTTTTGTAGATGGTGGTACTAGTCTAAAAGTACACACTCTTTGGTACTTGTCTTCATCAATGGCTAGAACTTACCAACATTTACATAGCCTGAAGTGCCCCAGATATTCCTGGTCTGGTAGGTTCTAAATGTCTCACAATTCAATTACTGATTCATTCATTAACACAGGACCATGCCTCTATCCCTAAGCGAGAGAAAGAACTCTCTAGAAGTTACACCACTTGTACTGTTTTTGAAACCTGCTAGTTTCCTTGAAATGCCATCTTTTTACCTATAGATAACAAAACCCATCTGTAATATATTTTACATCGAACAATAAAGATTTGGAAAAAAAACAAAACAAAACCCAACAACAGACAGATTATCTTGATACAGTGGCCAAAAAACTTAGGGTGGACGCTTCCAATGAACTGACTTCAAGAAACACCACGTGCAGTAACCGCACAAAATGAGGCGAGGCCTCTGAGAGCACAGTGGTTGATGCGCCCCGACTCCACCCTACCAAGATATTCAAGCCGCATTAATTATGCACCAACTATGGCTGCTCTGTCTTGCACACCACTCGGCGGAAGGCGAGGAGAACGTCTGTGATACCTGAAATACAACTAAGGCTTGTAGTTGCAGCCTCAGGGGTTGTGGTAGCCATCACCAATCCTCAAATTCCAGGGGCATTTTACCCACGGCTTCCTTCCAGGTCAACCACTTCACCAAATTTCTCCACTTTTTATTGTTCTGAACCGGGTGAGTAC